TTCTCTCACAAGTCTCCAAGACTCCGATCAAATAAACATGCACTGTCTGAATACTGGCTCTGACCAGACAGCCTGAAATACCTTCAAGGTGGTCCAATTGTCCCTATTTAGGAGCCATAATCCCAGTCCCTCTTTTCTAGGAGCTCCATACTGTGGGTGTGTGAGTGTATAACAGAGCTCCATAGCAATATCAGTAATGTATATTTATTTAAACTACAATACTTGTGTTAAGAAATCAGTCTATGTGAATAGGATCCATTGTTCTCATTTTAAAATTACATTTCATTTATATTACTTAGTAATAGACTTAAGTCTCAGAACAGCCACGCCAGTTGCCACACCCCCATAATTAAAGTGTCCTTTTTCCAGTTGAAATGCTAGATCTGGTCTTAGAGGTTTACACATTCAGATTCTCAGTGGGACAAGACTGATACTCTTATATAGTAAAAAGAAGGGCCTTTTAAAGCCTAGCTCTCTCCCTCCACAACGTTAGAGGGTTTCTATAGCCCTTTTGAGACGGCGAACCTTTCTGGTGTAGTATGCCCTACTGGATATATATAGAGTGGGACCTCTGTTTACGAATTTAATGCGTTCTCCGGGACGTTTCTTATTGCGAAAAATTTGTAAACCGAAAGGCGGTTTCCCATAGGAATGCATTGAAAACCAATTAATCTGTTCTGGAGGTCAGAAAGTCAAAATGACTGGCATGGAAACCAACCCACAATGCAGAACACAGTATAAGGCATGCAAACGACGAAGCTCAGCTCCCTACCTTTCCACAGCTTGAGAAATGCACCAAAAAGTCCCAAAACAACTACAATTTCCAGAATTTCCCATCCCATGTTTCCTTATTCAGAGTTAATACGTATGTAGGGGTGGATATAAAAAAAACAAAACACCCCTTTCGGTCTCAGATATCTTTGCCAGAAGCTCAAGGAAGCAAGGTGAAAGGTTAGTGTAGGTCCCACCTGAGAGGATTGCCTTGACGTGGCAGGTGGGCTAAAGTCTCTCATGGCCATTGGAGTAACTAAACCTTGATTTGTTAAAATATGCATAGGGATTTGGGAAGAGCACAGGTAACTTTTTTCTATGTTTTTTACTATATCTAGGCTGATGTGTACTATGGTCGTTGCTGCCACCCAGGAGTGATGGGAGTTTGAGCGCACAGTTTTTTTTGTATTTTTTTTTATACTTACCTGTAATTCAGCGCCTGGCAAAGCTTGTGTCCCTACTTTATCGCACCCCATTCTGATGTCACTGGGGCCAGCACGGTCCAATCACAAGCTGAGTGTGCAAACAGCGAGGGAGGGGAGAGCCATCTTTCCTTGCAGACACTGTCTTCAAGGGTAAAATGTTACTGTCTCTTGGCAGTGTGGAATGTGCGCTGACGGACTTTATGCACAGAATTTACATTAGGCAGTCCGGAACAGAGTTCTGGCCTGCCAATGTCACCGGGGGGTGCAACAAGACCCCAGTACACAGTTAGCAATAACTCTGTATATGCAGTGTTTCAAGCTAAAACCACTGCACATGCCGACTTCTACCAACATGACCACTTCAAATCACTAAAGTGGTAGGAGTAACCCTTTAATGAAGCTTCAGAATAAAACCTGTCATGGGAAGGATATATCTCCCCCCCCCACTATGCTGTGACTTTAGTGGTTTCTCCTGTGGGACACAGTGCCATCTAGTGTTCTTTTATGTGTAAGACATCCAGAAAAAGTAAGGCTTATTTATTTTTTTCATAAATACAATCTAGCTTATTTACTAAAATGAGACTAGGCAGGAAATAAAAGCAAATTTCAGCCAAAATATCTGAAATAGGAACATGCTCCAGATCCTCTATGCTTCTCGTTTAGCCATTTTAGTCTTTAAAAAAAACAAAAAAATAAATTAAATTCACTTTGAATTTTCGGCAAATCTCACTGTATTTCTGAATAATTCTCTGGGTTATTCACAAAAGGAAAGTTTCTACTTTATGGAATATATAATATTTTTGAATAGGATCTGTGCAACTGGTTTAATAGGAAAATGAGAAGTCACAAGTCGACATTTTAGGTGGAAACTAAATTTTATATATTCTTACTGCATGTTTCACGTTTAATGACATTTAGAGTAAAATAAAATATTAGGAGTGTTGTAAATAAGAGGAATTCACTTTGTTTTATAGTAGCACAAACTGTAGCCAAAATACACAAAAATAAAATACTTTCCAGTTTTAAAGTGATCCCATCATAGCTCACGGGCCATCTACCTATGCACTTTGTATAAAAGAGCTTAAAATGGCTCGATTTCAGCTTGCGGGCAGGGCCCTCTCTACCTTTTGTATTTGTGTGTATATGGTATGTTCTCCACTAAATTGTACAGCGCTGCGGAATCTGTTGGCGCTTTATAAATACCAGTAGTAATAATACGTTATTAACAGTTCCTCTAGAGCAGAGGTGCCCAAAAGGTAGATGCCCAGGTGTTGTAGAACTACGACTCCCATGTTGCTTTCCATATCTCGAATGATTTTAGAATTACATTCTCCCCTCCCCCGTTCTGTTTTGACTCATTTTATTTATTTCAATATATAAATACCTTTTGTGACATTGTTTCAGACACAAGTACCCATTCAGTTTGTTACAATTTTCCAGCCACATGACTATATTGTAAAAGTAACACATCCATGACAAGCTCACAACTGATATATACTTATGGTTATTTCTTGAGGGAATTCAGTACTCTAGTCTCCTTACTGTACCTCCCTTAAAAAGGTACTTATTTGATATTATCCTGTGTGTACACACACACACACACCTTATCCGCTGAATATATTCCTTTACTCCCAGTAACCCCATGTTCTAAGGTTATTCAATCCTTATTTTAACTATATTAAACTTTATATTTTGTGTGTCATTAATTTACTAATTTATTATTTAGGACAGGATCATGTTCTTTTGCTCTATATCCTACTTTCACAAAGGGTTAACCCCTCTATTCTGTTCTCAAGATAGTGATTAAATATACTAGCAGCTTCCCATAGCTTATTTTTCTATAGATTTTATGACAAAGCATCAGGGAAGCTTAGTTTTAAAACATCTGGGGTTCTACTGATTGAGCACCCCTGCTCTAGAGAGGAATGACATTTGTATCATAATAGACTATTGTTTGCTTTGGAACATTTTGAGTTAAAAAGATGCACTGCACTACCCAGTTACATAATTGGTGTTATTAAAGGGACACTTCATATCAGCCAAACGCGATGCAGAATATCACTGTTTCAGGACCCAACGTTAGAGCTGCTGTGTGAAATATCTATTTATTTTGGAATTGAAGAGGCCTTGTTAATGTAAACCATGAAAGACAAACTATTAAACAAATCCACTGGGGAAGCAAGGGGTATAAGATTTCACTGGCTGACCTTTCAATACATCACATGGTGCATAAGATGGTCTGTGCACAAACACAGTTGGGCCCCTCTGTTATTAAAACGCAAAGTCAGGCAAAGATTTGTAAATACAGATAAAACTACCTTTGGCACTTTAGGTGTTAATGACTGTTCAACCAGTCCAGGCAGCGGGAGCCAACTGCAAGGTATGGGTCTGGTGCTGTAACAGGAATCTTGAAGTCTGGTAAGAAGGAAATATACATTGTGAGGTTTGTTGCAGAGCCACATTACCCATAAGATATTAACAGCCACTTAGGCCATGGGCACACCATAAGCTAAGACCCAATAGAGCTCACTGTTTCACCCAGCACCCCTTTAAGGGAGCATTATTAAAGGTCTGCACCTCTCTGGAGTGCTGGGACCACAAGGGAGCTATTAAAGTGAACTGCACCAAGTAGGCCACAATCCTCCACCATCAGGTAAATACCCTCTACTGGAGCACCAGGGATAACACCCCATCCTGCCACATAAACACCACTGAGCAAAAAAGCAAAACAGTCTGCGTAAGCCAGTGGGCAATCAAAATCTGGCTCTTGTTTGTTGTATGTGAGCAGAGTAAACCTTAGGGTTTCTTTAATCCCACACAGTCCCAAGTACCCAAGATGTGCACTGAGCTCTGGTGAATCCACAGGAGAAGATCAGTGTTTGGAGAGGCAGCAGAGTATCAGTGAAGGAAACAAATTACCTAAAATATCAGACAAAACACAAGTCCAGTACACAGACTAGAAACCACAGAGACATATAGTCACCAGGATTAGAATACAGTACTTTAACTGGAATAGAAAGGCACACTAGACACAGGTCTTACCTTTATACAGGAAGGACTTGCACAGGATTGGCTCTGAACCTGGGGAGTGGATTAATACTGATTAGCTGAAAGGCAGCACCTGTGATTCTTACAGGTGGTATATAATTAACATTAAAGAAGCCCAGACAAGTAACAAGTCAACTCACATTGCAAATTAAAGGGAAACTCCACTGCAAAAATACACAATATATAAAAATCACTGCTCAGTAGATGAAAACTGTTAATGAAAAACATTTAATTATGCATTTTTCCATTGGGGTATATCTGAAAACAGCTGCCTTATCTAAAGCCTTTTCAAACCCTCCCAAATCTGACCCTTCTAGACTTTCTGAAGCATGCATGCAGCTCAGTGAGATGTCTTTGCAAGGTAGGTGCTCTGGGCAATTGCTGCCTCTTGAGCTTAGCTCCACTCAGCTAATGAAACCAGGAAGTAACAGGACAGGATGTCTGATTGACAGCCAGGGAGTGTTATGAGGTTTCTGACTTTTTTGTAAGAAAAAAACCCAAAACACTCTTAAAGGGACACCCCTGGCACCAAGACCACTTCTGCCCATTGGAGTGGTCTGGGTGCCAACTCCCACCACCCTTAACCCTGCAAGTGTAATTAGTGCAGTTTTTATAAACTGCAATAATTACCTTGCAGGGTTAAGTCCTTCTCTAGGTGCTGTGTATCAGATAGCCACTAGAGGGACTTCCGTGTTCTTAGAACATGAAAAGTGTTTTAAGCGAAACTGGACTTCCTCACGCTATGCATGAGGACCCCCAGTGTCTCCGGAATCCCCATAGGAAAGCATTGGATAATGCTTTCCTATGGGCAGGTCTAATGTGCGTGCGCTGCCATTGATGCGCATTAGGTCTCCCCCACCGGCTGACGTTGGGGGTTTGGGAGGGAGAGGGGCACTGTAGGGTCCTGCAGTGCCAGGAAAACTAATATGTTTTCCTGGCACTAGAGAGTCCCTTTAACACATAAAGCACTTCGGCAAGCTGACATTCTTTAGGCGTCTGGAGTATCCCTTTAACTAGGATGCAAATACTTCATTTTAGAAAACACTTATAGGGGTTTATTCACAGAATATCAGTCCAACAACAATGCTAGCTGTATAGCAATATCACTGACGTGGGGGATTTTCCAAATTAAGATATTTTTATCCTAACCTTTGAAATTCCTTCATCAATTCCCAACACGCTGTTTTGTAAACAGTAATCTAACAATGCTGTGTTGTGGGTTTCGTTGATTTATGTGTGCGCCTCTTCTGCAGGTCATTTCCAATGTAATGGTTTAAATAAATGATCTTCCACTAAATTCTCTACTCTAGAGAATTGCATGGAAAAAACAAATGGGGAAGGAGGTGAACACTGCCACCATGTGTTGATTTATGGGTATGGCATTATAAAATGATGACATTAAAAAGTTCTAATGTAGTTTCTTTTCAGAAGACTGTCAGCCAGATTTGATTTAAACATCACTCAGTAGAATTGCAGCATCTGTTAATTGCTTAACCGTGCCTGACTGCAAAATGGCTATTACACTTTAGAAAATAGAACACAGCTTTTCTCAAAGCCATTCCCAGTGAAACAGTCAACGTTTAACCTGGGAAGTCTAAAATAAGAGAATAACCAAAGAAACCAATTAAAAAAATTAATAAAATAAAACCGGCAAAACTAAATTTCCTTCTATAATATGCAAACATTCACTTTTTATGGAACTTGTTTCTCCATTCTAGGTTGCATTGTATATAGCAGAGAGATTATCTTCTGACATGATGCTCAGATGCTGCCTTGCAGCAATAGGAGTTGTAATTCTTAATCTTTGAAATCTCCATCCATGTATGTGGAATAGGAAGCTTTAAATGTGATAATAAATACTGTGATCAGGGGTATACATAGACTGATTGCAGTCATCGTAACTTATTGAGCATTTACACTTGTCTAATGCGAAAGGGACTGAACAACACAATCCATAAACCCCATCCAGAGAGGAGTTTATGGGGTATAAACAACCCATTTATGGACCAGAATGAGAGGATGGTGATTGGTGGGCCTCTTCCTGGTCTGTAAGGGAACTGATTTCTGCTTTTACTTGCAGTGTCATAGCGGAAACCACAGGATCTTAAAGGCACGCATTTTTCAGATTATTTTAGTTTTTGTGTATTTTGCACCTGATCATTATCGATCTCAATGTAATCCATATTTGGTGGCAGTGAGTGGCTAGGAGCATCAGCAGGCATGCACAGACAATCAACGTTGTCTACAAATAGACAAAACTGATATTGCTAATGTGGAAGGTTAACTACATTCGTAGTATAATGTGTTTAATAAATACCTGTGAAATATATGTATGGGTGTATGGAAACATGAAGAGTAACTGGCTCAGATGATCGTAGGTGAAGTGTCTATGACAAGTGAACTATTTATTGTGTCTTAATGGAGGTGCTATGGCAATGAATTAAAAAAAGGTGCCTTCTACTTAATGTATGTGGTAGATAGTACCGGTGAAGGTGGGGTTAGCGACAGAACTAAACCGGAGCCCACATGCTGAGGGCACATGCACTTAGGACAACCAAATGGCATTGTGCCTTCAGGGTTCTGGTCGTGCGCTGTGGCATAACCAGGCCCCTTTAATAAAATAGATAAAGACAGCCACGGTCACGTTCTCCCAGCTAACAGACCCAGCCACACAAAAGGGAGAGGATAGAGAGGAGGGAAACACAGCCTGGGAGGTCTCTGCCTCCCAGAAGCTTCCGCCAGATGACTGGACCCCATAGAAGCCACCTTTCTGCACCCAAAAGGTAGGAAAAAGGTAGGTGGCTAAAAAATGTACAAAAAATGCGTGTTTGTGTATTAGTATGTGTGCCCATTTCTCTGTGTGTTTGTATGTGTTTTCTGCAAATCTATCTTTGTATCTGTATGTGTATTTGTGTGTCTATATGTGTATCTGTGTCTGTGTATCTGTGTGTGTATCTGAGTGTCTATGTATCCACCTGTGTGTCTGTATGTGTATCTGTGTGTCTGTATGTGTATATGAATGTTTATCTGTGTGTCTGTATGTGTATCTCTATGTCTGTATGTGTATCTGTGTGTCTGTGTATTTGTATGTGCGAGTCTGTGTATCTACATGTCTGTATCTGTGTATGTGTTTCAGTATTTGTATCTGTGTGTCTGTGTATCTGCATGTGTATCTGTGTGTTTGTATCTGGAGGTGTGTCAGTATATATCAGTGTATGTGTGCGGCAGTTTATATATATATATATATATATATATATGTGCATACAGCTCAGCATTTAAATACCAACACTACATTCCTACATTCAAACATCAACACTACAAACAGACACACTTCTACAATCAAAGGCAAACACTACACACAAGTAAACCACTGATTTCAAATGGTAACAGTACATAAAAACATAACACTACAAATAAATACACTCCTACATTAACACAGGGCCCTCTCTACGTTCTGCCACTAGAGTTAGTTAAGGGTCCCCACCACACAGCAACTGAAGATAAATTATAAAATGTTGCAATATCAGTAACTCTGTGACTGTTGGCCTTTATTCCATCCAGCAGATTCCTTCTGAACGGGATAAATAATAACAGTCATAAAGTTTCTGGTGTTGTGGAAGATTTTATGATTCTGTAATGAAATATTTATTTTTAACCAGGGTTGGAAAACATTTCTTTAGATTTGGCAAACTTCATCTCTCACCATGATGAGTCTGCTTAAATATAAACCAGCATTAGGTGTTCATGGCCCTGGGCGCGGGACACCACCTCAACTATTACCAGAAGTTAAAGGACCACTATAGTGCCAGGAAAAAATACTCATTTTCCTGGCACTATAGTGCCCTGAGGGTGCCCCCTCTCCGCCTCCTCTCCTCCTCTTCGGCTGAATGCGCATGCACTGCAGGAACTGCGCGCACATTCAGCCAGTCCATAGGAAAGCATTCACAATGCTGGCTTCTTCTCACTGTGAAAATCACAGTGAGAAGCATGCAAGCGCCTCTAGCGGCTGTCAAGAGACAGCCACTAGAGGCTGGATTAACCCATTTATAAACATAGCAGTTTCTAGGGTTAACCCTAGCTGGACCTGGCACCCAGACCACTTCATTAAGCTGAAGTGGTCTGGGGGCCTATAGTGGTCCTTTAATAAGAAGGACATACCATTAGCTGTCCTGTGAGCTACAGTGGTTATGGTTCTTGGCTTTCTCCTCTTTAGAAGCAGTGTTCATCTGGGTGAAATTCTACATTTTAAAAGCGCGGCCGTTCTGTATTCTATAATACGTAATCTAAATCTCTGACTCTTCTCCGCATCTTAATGTTGATATCATAAGAAAATTACATTCTTTGAGTACATTTTTTTTCTTTATTTTTAAAATTATTTTTATACAAATGTTAAAAATGCCAGAATGAAACTCTTGCTGTACAGGCACAGAGAGTACATAAAAAATACACATTTCAATAATAAAAAAAACAACATAGATTAAACATAAAAAAACACATAAAGGTATAAAACAATGAAAAAGTACAGTTACATTTGTAAAAAACCCCAAACATTTAAACATATTCTAGAAATTGGAGGTGGTTATGTTGCAACATTTGATAACTAGGAGAGAATTTACTAGTAGAAGCAAACTTCTGCAAGACGTATACACACTTTGGTTTAAGAAAAGCCTGGCATTCAATGGAGATTATTAGGATTGATGAGTTCCAATATGGCCCTATGGATGGAATGTCTGATTGAGCATTGACTTCTCGATACCTAAACATGCATGAGGAATTAATAGCATTATGTGAAGATGGTAGAACACATCAGAAAGAGCTATGGTAGCATTCATACTTCCTATTCAAATCTACTACATGTTTGACCCCAGTAAGCAATCCAAGAGCATTTATTGGGTTTGAGGGAGAAAAGGTACTCTCACTATCAAAAAAGTGTTACCCCTTTGACAGGGGGATGTTTTATAATGTAGATCTGAATTAAAATAATCTATATACACCCCAGAGGTGGATATGTAAATGGAAGCAGCCTGTACCGAAGTGCAATCAACCCCCAATGTCAAGTTATACCTAAACTTTATGGTAAACTCGAAGCTCCAAAACATTATTAGGGCGAGTGTTGCCAAATCAAGGAATGGATGGGACGACATTGACTAGCGCAGGTTTAGGCAATCTTCAGTGCCCCGAATGTTGTGTAATGCATCTCCCCTGATGTTTTGCCAGCATTATGTCTGTAGGAGCCTTATGGGAGCCATTGGCCACAATATCTAGAATGCCGTAGGTTGTCTATCCGTGGACCAGAGAGTTGAAGGATCTACTAGAGTCTCAGAGTTTTCGGATAATACAACGTGCATCCCCATTTATATATATATCACATTATGTAATTATTGGAGAAGGCTCTCGGTAGGTTTGAAACATTTAACCCACACAACAGTTAGCATTTTAGGATTTTATATGTTGAGTATAATCATGATTATTTGTCTGTAATAGTAATTCCTCAATTCTTTGTTTTCATTGTAGCAATTTGTGGCCTTAAAGGGGAAATTCACAATTAAGCGAATAACCCTGTAAACTAGCAATGGAAAAATACTGAAAATTCCTATATTGTTTATTCCTAAGATTGATATTGAGCTGATGGCCTTCATTTTGAGGCTTTATGTCAGATTTCTCCTACTTTTCAATATTTAGTAAATTTCTCCATAACTACTTAAAAAAGGTTGCTTAAAAAAAGAAATCACAAATTTATTTTTTGTATAAATTAATAGTTAAATGTATAGTTATCTGATGCTTTGATACTATTACAGCATTATATTTATTCAATTAATTTATTTTCTTACGTCATAGCCTTTCAAAACTACATCTAGTAGAGATAATAGGACTGAAAAAGATAAAAAGTTAATACTGAAGTTGTTAAAGGCAATACATAGGTGATATGGAGGTGGGGCATAAGAAGATCTGGGAGTGGCTTGAATGTAAATGAACAAGATTTACATTAGCCACTCCCACTTCACTTCTGAATTAAAAAATATGTCCTTGTATTCTTTAGTCTCTCCAGTTTGATTTTGAGGGGGTAAAATAGGCAGAATATTATTTCAAGTAATTGTTTTCAAACATACAAACATATCCCTGAGGATGTAACTAAATATAATAAAATATAAAGTGTTTATAATGGTTAGAGTTTAAAGAGAAAATATTTGGTGCAGTTCTTAGAATGAAGAAAAAGAATGTTCATTCTGAAAAATACTGATTTTATAGTACAACGAGAACCCATTATACAGTGATGGTTATTTATTTACATAAGCATATATCTACATTAGATGTTTGAGCGAGAATCTGGCACTTAAAAGTGTTACTATCTTATGTCTTTAACACAAGATTTTTTTTAATGTTTTTTTTTCATTTAAAGGGACACTCCACTGATCAAATAAAAAAAAAACAAATGAAAAAAAAAAAACCCAACAACAATATTTAGTACATACACGCCAAATGAAAATGTGCATGCATTTAATTATGCATTTTATATTGTGGGCATAGCTAAGGTCAGCTTCCAAAATCTGCTGATCTCTTGTCTGCAGCATTAGCAAGCCTTCCCCTTCTAACCCAACCCTGCCCAGACTTTCTGTGGCTGTCCAATCACGGACTTCCCAATGCAGTTCAATGAGATGTCTCTGGACAATTCCCTGCCTCTTGAGTTTAGCTCCACTGAGCTAACCAAACCAGGAAGTAACAGAACCTTTTTCTGATTAACAGCCAGGGTTGTAACAAGGTTAATTAATAAAAGTGCCAATTTCTATTAAAATCTTCACGTTCTGTAAAATAAAAAAGAGAACACACTGTTCACACATAATACACTTCAGCAAGCTAAAGTGCCTTAGGTGTGTGGAGTGTCCCTTTAAATAAAAATGCATAGAGTAATATTTTAATTTTAATATGAATTTGCCTTTGTCTTAAGGTAAAATGTATTACAATTTCTCTAGTGGAGAATAATGTAAATGCTATATATTTATGATTACTCCATGTTGATAACTTTTAAAATAAATGTTTATTTTTAAACAGAGTGTTCCTTATATCCCCCCTTTTTAAAACAAAAACACACTGCCCAGTGCCAGGCACTCTCTGCCAGGCAGCAGTTTCTCCCTCGGTCATATAATCCGTCCAGATGAACTTTGGCCCAATCCGATGCTAAAGAAGGGTTCTTTACTACACTCAGCCAATCAGATGATTCTCATACAGAAGCACTGAATCCAATACTTCTCTAAGAGAAGTATTGCAATGCAGAATGTGAAGACTTTTAATTAAACACTTCATAATGAAGTGCCTTTAGAGCTGAAAGCTGCTACAGACATCCTTAGCGACAAATGTAAACACTGCAGTTTCTCACAAATGGCAATGTTTAGATTTGTCAGCCTGCAGGGTAAGGGTCTAAGTATAAAAACCACTAGATTACGATGACAGTTTTCCTTTTCTTATGCCCCTCACATCTTAATAATTATACTCCCCTTCTTGCCACTTGACCTTGTTTATATTAATATATTTTTTTTAATCTTTTTCAGTATGCAGTGCTGCCATTTTGTTTCCCTCTGTTAATTATATCTACAGTATGCCCTTCTGTGTGATATTGTATACGGATTGATTGTGGGTAAATTCGGGGTTACCACTGAAATGGTGCTTTGTTTTAGCTCAGCACATTGCTGTAGATTGCCAAAGATTACACTTCCCATAAGAAAATGAGTCCCTACTTTTTCTTATGTAAAACTAAAAAAACAAGATGAATTAAAAAAAATTATAAAATAATTAGGAGGAATACAGGGACAAAAAAAAAAAAGGATCGATTGTAAACAGCACCTGCATAGCCACTTTAACCTATCTTAGTGAGTTAGGCTCACCCCTTCATAGAATGACATGATGAGTTTCAAATGGATTAAAGATTAGACAGTTTTGATATCTGTGGACCAGGTTTTATCATCAATTTGGTGAAAGAACATCGGAAATTAGAATAAGAACGCATTCTATGAAACAAGGCCATACTGGTGATTAAATTAAACCATACTAGTGGTCTTATGTCTCATTGTGTGTTTCAGGGGCGGTATTAATAAGGAAAATCTTCCAGCTGTTCCAGGCCATATAGATCTGCAAGCATCTTAAATCTGGGGCCCCAATCATTCAACACATCGTAATCTATATCAGAGTCTGAAGAGCCAGATTCAAGCGAACTGAGAGATTCCACTATCGATTCTGACCCCTCGTAGCCAAATATGTGTAGGGTGTCATAGGGTAGACCTTCTCCATCATTATCTGCTTCATCCTTCTTCACTTCGATCACGTATGACATGTCTCCATTGTTGGCCGGTATCTGGAGCTGGGGGTAGGCCATGGGACGAGGCTCTTTCTCGCTCTTTTGCCTGACCACATTTCTGCGCACAGAATTAAGAACCGATACATCATAACTGTTGGTATCCATCTCTCCTCCTCCCTCTTCATCATAGGTGACCAACTGCTCATGGATCTCGGCTACATTTTTCCCTAAAATGTTGGTTTTTGTCTTCTGTGTTTTTCTTAAGATAAATATGATGGCCACTGAAGGAGAAAACATATAGACATGTAAGACGTGAGTATTATCTTCTATCTGCAAATAGTCATCAATATATTCATTGACTTATTAAGGACACCTACTGGGACATCATACATTAGATTCCCCCCATGGCTCTCTGTGGAATTGCAAATAAAAAAAAGTAAGACCATATTTCTATCCCCTTTGTTAGGCTTCTCCTATACATATTGAAAATAATGCCATCAAATTATTTATAATACTAAAATATATAAAGATCAACACATGTGACTTAAGATAAAATAAACTTTGATCCCTCAAAAATAACCCTGATAGCTAAGCTGTTCATTATTTATTGTTTTAAATATAACATTTTTTACTTAATCATAAAAATGACTGTAGCTATGTTTGCAAGAATGACATCACATGTCACATATTGAATATAGCACTTGGATCACACAAGCTGTTTCTGCTACTGTAGCATACAGAAACAGCTTGCTCCCAGATGGACACCAAGGACAGTCCTGCAAACCTTCCGCTCTCCTTTCCCCAGATCCCTCTTTGTCTGTCTAATGTGAGCGTCAGGAGATGAGATGGATAATATTTTATCTGTGAATTTGTTTGTGTGTCTGTTTGTGGAAGTGTATATGACTGACAAGTTGTATATGTATGTGAGAGTGAGTTATGTGTTTATGTTTATGAGTGTGTGGTTAGCTGTGTATGTGACTGTGTGCTTATGTATAAATGGATGAGTGAATAAGTCACTAGTCAGGTGCTAAAGTGTTGAAAGACTCACTGATCAGATATGCTGAAGAGTGTGTAGGTATGTGTGAAAAAATTAAAGCACCGTCACTACTACAAGCTAATTGCACTGGCTATGGTAGTATGCATCTGCCGTTTTACCAAAAGCAATGCATTCCAACCTGAATGACAATGACAGGCAGAGTCTACCAGGTAACCATATTTGGAGGGTATGAGAAAAAGTATTTATTTCCCAGCATCCAAAGCCAGGTACCTCTTGAGCTGCAATGAGGCAGAAGTTTAATTTCCTTACATATCCTTCCAATTTTGGATTGCAATGACAGGCTGTGAATGCTGTGGATGGCTTAGCCCAAGGATCGCAGCCTATCATTGTTGCTCACCTACAACAGAGTGGCCAGGATCTTGGAGCTGGGACAGCCCAATTTTTTGTCAAACTGGTAACAAATTGTTTGTCAAAACTATAGAGGGAACATCTAAAGACCTCTTGCATCATAACCAATGCTATCAACTGAAGTAGTTATGATACTTGGGGTATAACCTTAAGCCCCAAACTTCACCTAAAACTCGGGGTACCCTTGAACCAACCAGAGTGTATTCAGAAATACTTAACAATGGAAACTCTGTTTTATTAAGTGAACTTTACCCTTACTGGGTGAGTTACCCTTACCTTGGTTAATTGATCAAACAAGGCAAATAAAAATGCACAGTCATCTTAACCATGAATCTTACCCAATAACAAAACAATCAAGCACACAAATATAATTGCGAGCATTGGACCAGACACTGCGGCCTGTTTGGCGACCTCTTCGCAATATGTGTATTCCCCTTTCTCATTGCATTTGCAGACTCCGATGGTCAGGGTGTTGGTACTACTCATTTCAGGTTTCCCATTGTCAGAAATCACAATTGGCAAATAGTGAACTTTTGCTAAGTCTAGGTTAAATTCTCCATATTTTACGAGAACGCTTGCTGTGTTATCTGGATGAAAAGAGAGAGTTATAAACAAATGAAACTTTAGTAACATTTTACATAAGATAACGACATTTTAGGTAGATAGACTGAGTGAATGATTAAAATAATATTTTGTTCCACCTTGGAATGTCTTAGCAAGTTTGGAATATACAGTTTACAGTTTGGGCATTTGAAACTACGCCGTCCCAGATGTTGCTAAATTACAACTTCCATGATTCTTTGGCCAGCTATAGCTCTCAAAGAATTCTGGGAGTTGTAGTCCATTAACATCTGGGGAGCAGAGTTTGAGATCACCATTAAAAAGAGTTTGCAGTTTGCTATACAAAGGTTACTTAGCAAAAGATGTCCAAAAAAAGTCCAATTGTTTATTTTGAGAGTTGGGAATTTTTTTCTCTGATATATGTAGAAATTGTAAAACCAGAGATTTAGAGATTTAGAAGTGGGCTATTAGTGGAGGGTTTGTGTATGTTACTTTTGAACCCCTAAAAGTTAAAAAGCTTCATCTATCACATCCTCATATCTACAGAACATGTTGTAAAATGGGAATCTAGCGGCTCCAATGGGTTGACATGATGGAAGCGGGAGCAGGCAAATTACAGAGCGAAATGTTTGTCAATCTTGGTATATATGTTCAGAAAAACACTCAGCTCAAACCCCCCCACTGTGTTGCTATTGACCAACGGATGGAAAACGAAATTCGAAGTTTAAAGAGACGCATTTTCAAATGTCACCACACATAGTCATGCTTAGCTGGGGAGTAATATACAATACTTTTATTATCTTGCACTGTGAAATTGTTTTCTTTTTCTGCAGAATAATATGTAAACTTTGCTCCTGGTGTCATTTCATCCTTATCAACAGCAGAAATTCTTATTATGACCTGAAAAAGAAAAAAAAAAACATAAAAGAAAAGATTGATATCACGTTTTGACTTTGCCAAGGGAGTCGGTAACATTTTGCTAAGAAAAGATAGTGTGCAAAAAATAAATAAAAAATTGCAAATAAAATAAACCCCCCTCGTGTTACAGACATTGTGTAATTTAAATGCAAATCCATTCGACGGAACTGTTTAACCATTTGAGCTGGTACTATAGCTGACATTTTTACTAAAAAAACAGCCAGTTGATATGATCACCTTTGCTTCATTGATCAGTATGGATCATTCACATATCGATAGCGGATGTCTTACATATTGATAAAGGATTTTCCCTTTGTTCTCTGGTAATTTGATGGGACCGTTCTAACTTGGTCCATACTTGTTGTTCTAAGAGGTCATTATCTAGCTCTATAGCTAATTGTATCTGTAGGGGACATATACATATCACAAGCAGATGGACAAGACACTTTCTACTGCCTCCTGCTGTTCTTGGTCATCATCAGAAATTTAAATTCTATCATTTTGGGTACAGTTTTCCTAGTTCATTTAGAGTAGAGTTACATCCAATTGTTCTAATCATACAAGTCCGTAAGCATCGGCTACTGCTACGTAAGTTTTTTTTTTCTTCTTTTTTTCTTTTAAGGTGTTGGTCTAAAAGAAATGAGGTACTAACTTTACATATTAAGTTAATATGATTTGCAAAGGACTTTCTAAGAATTTGTATTTCCATATATCGCAATGTCAATTCATTATGAAAAACACCGTAGGCTAAATAGAGGTTTGTATTTTGGACAGAGATTGTCAAAAAGTCTAAAAGAACAATGTCACAATGGTAAATCCCCTACACAGAGCAAACTCAAAAATGTGGCGATACATTGTTATAATTGTCTACTATTCTGTGATACCCGTAAAATCCCATAGGTTTAGTGTCTACTGTTAAGAAAGCAAGCACAGAATTATGACTTCTTTCATTTCTGTGCTACGTTTTATAATCTTTCTTTCTAAAACAACAATGTAAGTGACTTAAATAAACAGCTGAAAATATCTTATTCATCCGACTAGATAAAAACACTTCCTTGAAAATCATTTCCTAAAACACAAGCATTTCATTTCCTCTGGTTCATTTTACTTCTCAAAGGCCATTTACCAGAAAGCTGCCTGAAATTATCTATTGTGAAATCAATATTAGCTACGGAAGACACTTCCTTTTCTTGCTGAGATGCAAGGCAATGCAAATTGCATCCTACCCGTGGTTTGTGGAATAATTCGGGTAAGGAACTAACTGTGAATTCAATAGAAAGGAGTAAATTATCTTAACCATGTGTTTGTCTTAATTACTTGTGTCATCTATCTTTCTAACATTTAATACTTCAGGTGCCCAATGGTTAGTCATTCTCAAATATGTTTTACATGTGGATTTAATAATAATATTAATATTTTCACATTGTTATTTGATTATTTGTAGTATGTTCGTACTAGCATTGTGATGGATCAGAATTGTGATGGACCCGCCATGGCTTGGCATTTTAAATTGCTTGGCATTTTTTGAGTATTTGACATAAAATTGTTTCAAGGATGAATGGCATTAAGTGTTAACTTGAAGTGGATCTTAATGGTTGAAGCCAGAAAAAAAACTGTTGCATGTTTTATGGTCAACCTCAAGGAGATCTAAGGCAGCTGCCTAGGGTCCATGGTTTAGAATGGGACCCGGGTACAGTGAAGATACTTGGCCATTCTTTGCCACTTTCACCATTCCTAGATTGGGAATGAAGGGGACATCAAAGTCGTAGCCTTACTTTGGTATCTTAATTTATCTCTGCACAAATAGAATGCAGTTACCTTCCCTGGAGGTGCATTTTCACACACTCTAGCTGCATAGCGTTCCGCAAACTCTGGAGCATTGTCGTTGACATCAAGGACTTTTATGAAGATGGGAACTAAAGATTCCTTCTTCATTGTACCTGCAGTAAACAAATAATTTTTGAGTTTAGGTAGACGACTCAGCCCATGTGTCCACTATAGTTTTCTTATTGTCTCACACCACTGTAGCCCTCAGGATATCACTCCAGAATATGTTGGCGCTTCATAAATGTCAGTATTAGTAATAATTCAAATAAAAACTACAACTGGTTGTTGGTCTTCCTTTATGGTCAACCCGTTCATTCAAAGTGGACAACGGGGCAAACTGTGTACAGGTTGTGTTTTATTAGGACATTTTTGTCCAGAGTTAGACAGAGAAGACAAGTAAAGACCTCTATAATATAAGGATACATTGTAAGGCACAAAAACAGTTAAAGTGGTCTCATGACCATAACAATTTGAAAATTGATGTTTAGCTTCATAGTAAATCCTATCCACATTGAACAAATGATACATTGATAAATAAATTCATTCCATCTTTTGGAGAAAATATGCCATGGACCATTCCCTCTGCTAGGCATGTAATATGAGACATTTCCCTTTTAGATAACGCACTCAAAACATTTGCATTGATAATAGGGATTCAACCACACACAATTGTCTCAAGCCATTTTTAGGAGCTGCTGATTTAACATAGGGTTCTGCTTCCAAGGGAGCCTATGCTAGTGTTTTTGCCAAACTTTTTGGAAATGGTTTGATAAAAACTCAAGGTACTACACTCATAGAGTCCTTATGGCATTTGCTAAATTAATTTCTGCCGGATATAGTTCTTGGGTTGTTACTTGAAGTTGAAAAGGTTCCGAGTCAAAGAAGCCCAAAGAAAACCACAAAAACTTTAGAAAATATTACATTCTTAAAGTACTCCAATTCCTTTTTGTAATAAGAGGATATGGGGTCCAATAAATTAAAACCATTGGTTTTAATTTGAATATAGCTAAATTAAAGTGCAGAGTATCAAATAATTGAAATATATATGCATGATTGCATGCTACCATATACACGTAGTCTTTGGCTACAACAATAATATCAATACTTACTTTTTGGATCAATTTCTTCAGCTGCTACAGTCAAATTATGCCAGTTATTAGTCTCTCTATCAAGAGGTTTGTCAACGATAATATCGCCCTTATTTGATATTATGAAGAAATTGTCTTTCGGATTTCTGAGTGAATATCTGCAGTGATATGAATATCATCATTAAGATCATATTAAATTAATATGCTTTAAATATCATTAAATGCTTTATATGAATGTAGCCAACCAGTGAAATTTCATGTTTTTGTTCAAAAATAGCCGAATTGGAAAAAAAATCTTGATTATTTTTTTTGCTTGGTTATTTTGGTGACGATATGCAATTCCTTGGTCAATTTCTAGTTTAATTTCTACCTTTTTATTTTCAAACTAGAAAATGTGCAAATGAGAATGAATTTAGAAATTTCAATCCCCCGTCTGTTATAACACTTTGTGGAGCGATAACAGTAAGTTTAGACACGTTTCATAATCTTTCAAAATTATATTTGAGATTCTCGAAATGTTCTCCATCATATTATTTTATACTAAAAGATTACTGTTAACTTTTATTTGCTTTTTTAAATCAAACACATTTCTTATTTTGCAAAGGTGCAGTTGAACACTTAAATACTGTACATATTCATTTTTCTTCTTTTTACAGCAAATCTTATTCTGTGCCATCAGAAAAAAAGTAGAATTCCAAAAACACATGTCCCAGACATTATTTCAACATATTACTTGATCAAGCCTTAATCCTCACAAGCTTCCATGAACTGTAACAGCACAGAGGGAGCTTACAAATGATCCAGTCATTGACATGGTTGCAATAAGTCACAGACAGCACCTGCAGTCATGTGCAGAAAAACACACAAAAATGTCTTGTTGGGGTTTGTGGCCTGCAGCACTACAGAACAGACGTCTATCTGCCGGGCTCTGCAAAGACCCTGCAAACCCAGAGAATTAGGCCAACAAAAAGGAATCTTTTTCAGCCAGAAACACTCACACCCCCAAAGAGACACTATGGGGCGCAAAAACCGACGGCAATATCGCCCAGAAGACCCGCGGGTACCAGATATACGGCTCTATTTCGGGAGGCCAGTGCCGCAGCAACAGTCCAAGATGGTGCCTAAGGCCCTCCGTGAGCCCGAGGCCTCAGATGAATCACAGGAGGAAGGGGAGCCTCTGGCTTCGTCCCAGTACGGAGGTGATGAACGCTCATCAGAGTCAGAAGAAGACACAGCACCATCAACAAAAGGAGATATTAGGAGGCTTCTCATAGACCTACCGAAGGTCTGAAAGGAAGACCTCCAAGTTGTCCACACTGAAATCGGTGTGGTACACCAAAAGGTCAGAGAGCTGGAAACAAAGGAACTTTCCAGAGATACACAACTGCAAACTGCCAGCAGTCAAATCGAAAGCCTTACCTCTCAAGTACAGGAACTGCACCGGGCGGTGACCACGTTTGAAATGCACCACAGGAGCTGAAATTTACGACTCAGGGCCCCCAAGAAGCCGAGTACAGCCCTTGATATTATAGAGTTACCTACTGTTGTGTTCTGTAATACCATGACAACTACCCATGTTTGACGTTATCATGCTCATGTATACAAAGTGTTTTTACTTTACAATATAATGAAAAAATTAGTTTAATGCAAAAATAAATTTAATAAAATATAAATTGAAAAAAAAAAGAAAAAATGTCTTGTTGACCAGAGAAGATACTTAAAAAACAACAACATACCTAACACTGTTTTTGGCTTCATCCGGATCTTCTGCAAAGACAGAGCCAACAATTTTATTTAATTTTGTATCTTCTTTAATTTCAAATTTGTAAGGAGACATTTTGAACACTGGAGGCTCATCCACATCAAGGACATTAATGATGACTTCAGCATTGCTTTTTGGCCTGTGGTGCTTTGCCACCGCAAGTACAATGGAGGGATCAATTGCCTGAATATTCATCTTATATTGTTTTACACTCTCAAAGTCCAAAGCCTGTAAAATAAGCATCCAGGAGTTACAACGTGAGAAATTAACATAATTGTCATTGATACACAGTCTCAGCTTTTGATTAATTTTTAAAAGAAAGTTGCATTAAGAAAAAATGGTCACTGAGAGAGTCTTTGAAGACACATACCTTGTGTAATTGTGTGTTTGTGAAAGGCTAAAGGGTGATTATTAAACAGTTTCATAGATCATTGTCCCATAATGCCCCCTTAAAGCTCACTTATTTTTACCTTTTTTAATACAAAAATTCCTTCATTCGACTGAGCATTTGTTCTAATTTCAAAGATTTCCTGGAGTTTTTCTGATCCAAAAACGTATTTGGTGTTCCGGTTCTGGGGCTCATCAATATCTACCACCTGCAGTCGTCCAACTTCGCCCATAACTCTCAAATTTTCGTAGACATTGAAAGTGAACTTGTCTGGTAACAGAACGGAGATAATCCAATTAAATTTGGTTTGATTTAAGGTCATGACTATAGCTGAGATTTCAATAAATATACAGTTGGCTAGACCACCGTATTTAAAGGTAGTCTCGAAAGCAAATGTGTTGGACTAAATTCTGTATCACAAGGGTTCATTGTTTATTTTCCTCGAAACTCATCGTGTTTCTCAACTATAGTGGTTATGATGCTAAGAATGCCTCTTTAAGTACTTACTGTGATACCTATGTACAAATTTAAGGAATAACTCAGTTCATTGCAAACTACTCTCTACAAGTTATGTGCTTTCTCTTTCTTCTAAATATGGTTAAAAAGGATAAAAACTCAGTTAGATTTTCTCACATTCATTGCACATGGTCTCCAGTTATTTTTTGACATAGTCCACTATAAGGAATTTAATGGATTACGTAGTTTTGGAAACTGAATATCACAAATACTAATAAAATACACATTATGAGAAAAAAATGACTGTGCAAATGAATGTGGAAAATAATGACTACAGGTTTAGACTTTTGATGACTACATGATGACTGTATGGTGATTGTATGATGACTACATGATGACTGTATGGTGATTGTATGATGACTATATGATGACTGTATGACGACTTTATGATGACCACATGATGACTGTATGGTGATTGTATGATGACTACATGATGACTGTATGGTGATTGTAGGATGACTATGTGATGACTGTATGGTGACTGTATGATGACTTTATGAGGAAGTCTTCCTTTGTCTAAGCTTAATAACCAGAGACTATAAACTTACCTTTTATGAATGTTGGAAAATTGTCATTGATATCAATCAAGTGAATCATGATAGTGGCTGTACTTGTGTGTCCATTCTTCTGACCGGGTACATCTCTGGCTTCCACAGTTATCTCATAAGTTGCTTTTTCTTCTCTATCAAGATAGGGAACTGCTGTGTATATGGATCCTGTAACCAATAAAATAAAGAAATTAGAGAGTGGACCAGGTACAAACATGCAAATACTAATAACTTCTGTTATTTGCACTCCATGCACGTATACCTAGATTACCCTATCTCTATGCCAGGGGGGCAAAAGGTAGATACCCAGATATATGCATAAATAAATACCTTTTGACTGGCAAAAAATAAATAAATAGGAATTTGTAGTTTTCAACATTAGGGACCTACCTTTTAGACAACCCTGCTCTAGGGGACACTCTTTCCTTATTACTACCCATTCTACACCCCCTTCTTCATATAGTACATACATAAGTGGAGCTTTTCCTCGTCTCTTTAACCAGAACAATAGGATAAAATATATTTCTTCATCCATCAGTATCCCTTTTAAACTACTCTCTGTCAACGACATATTGACCCTTTTTCTGATAGATACTTACCACTCACATCATATCGATCTGGACCTTACTTACACCTGTTACCTACATTATTCCAATACTTTTTTTAGGAATTGTTGTTGGTTTATGAAATGTTTTTCTCACCGTCTTTGCACTACTGTACTGATTGTAGATGTCTTACTATCTTACCTATAAATATAATCCAGGGGTGCCCAAAATGTAGATCCCCAGATGTTTTAAAACTATAGCTTCCATGATGCTTTACCATTCTAAAGGCATTCCAACGGGGCATGCAAAGCATCACTGGAGTTGTAGTTCAACAACATCGCTCGATCTACTTTTTGGGCACCCCTGCTGTAAATATTTGCTCAAAAATTATTTACGAATGGAAAAACATTGGTTGCAGTTATAATCACACTCCTCAACACCCTTAGGGAACAAAATTATATATATACATAACAATATATTAGTATTAAGGACATGACATCACCTAATGTTGACTTTTTTCATTTCTGTAGTGTTCTCATACATGTCATGTACTATGAGTTGTGAGACATTACATTGATCATCACCAAAAAAAAGCTTTCGGTCATTTGAGCAATGAAGAAGGCTTACATCTAATTTTCCTGTTTATGAAATCTCTCTGTAAATTAATATTGAGTATTTGATAATCATGGACTAAAATAAGGTAACAGGTAACACCATAAAGAAATAGTGTAGTGTAGAGTAGAGTGTAGTGAGTTTTGTAAAGTGCAATAGTACTTGGTTGTTGTGTAGCTAAGCAGAACAATTATCGAACCTGATGACCATGGCAAGACAGCTCATGCCATTATGGATGTACCACCATGGGCAATGGTTGGCAACAAATATTACGGTCTGTAAACCCATTGAGATATAGAATATAGGTTTAAATATGATTCAAGAAACCTTAGCACCTTTGGTTAGCTTTTACACTTTTTATTTTTGCATTGGCAAAGGAAATACATCTGTGATAAATTCCAGCTCTGTGAAACTCATGAGGCCAGAAACTCAGGAGCCAAAGCATTGATTCAGTACTGTATGTGAATTTTTGACGTTGTTCTTTTGTATGTTGAATCAACTACTCTGTTTTTTTCCTATTGTTAAGCTTTGACTTGTGACTAGTTTTCCTCTTTGATCATACAGGTTGCCTATGTTAAGGAAAAACAATAATTATTGTTCCCCTTGATACATTAAGCTGTGTAACCCTGAAAGATGCTAGATCAATTACAATATGCCATAAGAACTGCACTCCATCCACAGAAGCAAAAAAAGGGTGCTAAACTGGACCATGGGCCAGCACAAGCCCAACAATAATAGATACTGGTAATAGAAAAAGGAACAAGCACTACAATTGCCACAGGCACATTTATTGGAACGGAAGAAACACTACAACGTTTTGACCGAGACAACAAAGGCTTGACAAAGACCCAGATCTGGGTCAAAACGTTGTAGTGTTTCTTCTGTTCCAATAAATGTACCTGTAGTGATTGGAGTGCCTGGACCTTTTTCCATTACCAGATGCTAGACCAATGTAACTGTCGTGTTGCCCTTGCAGGTGGTAGCCCAGTGTCTCTGCTGTGTTTCCTTGGTTTGTATTAGATTCTTATCTTTCACTTTTTAGCCTACTAAATCTTTACCATAAGATCCATTTACTCACACTTTCTAACATGTTAGTTGTGTCAATAAATAAACAATATACTAAACCAATCAATTAATTCTCTGATGTATAGTTAATAAATATACTATTGTGGATTCTCTCTACTTTGCTTGTTAAAAATTGCCATATATTTTTTATACTCTCTTATTATCGCTGTATATTTATTATGAACTATAATATGCCACCAGTAACATAGTAAATTGACTCACCCATGTTATTAATTGTGAAGTGGTCTTGTCCTTTTGTGATTTGATAGGCTACTTTGGCATGCCCAGCTAATGTGGGATCATCGGCATCCAAGGCTGTAACTGTAGTTACCAAGGTGCCTAAAGGCAGAACACGATGAATCGGAAAAACAAAATATGAAATAATTAACCGCATGCATCATTTTTTCTTCATTGCAGAAGATACTGTGAAACAGAACAATGTTACAAGAGCCTGTCAATAGAGCACATACCTGTTGGAGACATTTCAGGAACGGATGCATTATATATATTCTTTGTGAATATGGGGGCGTTATCATTAATATCACGCACTCTAATAGTAAAGATAGATTTGGGCCCCAGGGTTTTGCCAGTATATTTATTAACCAGGATTGCAGAGAGCCTATATTGTGCCTTTTTCTCCCGATCCAACATTTCAAAGCAATATATTTCTCCATTCTCTTCATTCACCTTGAAGGTGGTGTTGGCTCCTTCTCCATCAATGGCAAATTTAGCAACATCTTTATTTGTTTCATTGGCCTGGAGCTGCAAGTCAATCATATTAACACATTAATAATGTGAGCAAGAAGGAACCACACTTAAGACGGCTGCAGGTGCACAAAGCTATGGTTGTTTTTGAAAAGGCTTTGAATTACAAACGCTAAATGGCCAAGCATCTCGGAACACGTAGTTCTCAAGCACTTATTGTAATATTAATTGATATTAATGTAATTGATTTCTTATTTCTTTTTAGAACAAAATCCATAATTTTTATGCACAATTGTACAGTTAGTGAGAAGAAAGAGGTCACTTTTTATGACCAGTGTATGTTGCGTGGTTGCATTGTGAATTGAGATTCCATACTTGGGCCTATAGAATGTGCTCTAATACTATTTTCTTATGCACATATTAAACAAACAAACAAACAAACAAATACAACAAAAAAAGAAACAAACAAGATAAGCCTTAATTAAATAGTAAATTTGGTTGAGACTGGAGTGAAGATCTCACCTGACCAACAAAATGTGGCAGGGCAGTTTTTTGTTCCTCCTCAATTGTCATGGAATTCCATACAAAGTCCCTCTTGACTCTTCTTTTGTAGTTGCCATGATAGATGTCCCCAGTTTTCACCTTCTCATTTGTGCATTGGGCGAATGGGAAAAAGGCGATTGTCACTACCAGAAGCCAGAGCCAGCGAAAGGTCATCTTCACTGGGCTCCAAGAACCTACAAAACACAGCGTATCATTGTTAGCAAGTTTACCTGTATTGTATGAAACTTCTCAAAAGTATTTTTTGTTTTGGTGTATTCCATCACTCTTTATGTGGGAGTTAAATGTTCTTCACAGAGTTATTTACTAAAGTGAGACTTCAAAGAGAGGTCAAAGTGAATATCAAATTTAAGTCGGAGTAGCTGAAAGCATAGCTGATTTACATAATTTTAACAGTTCAACTATTTTAACCTTAAATCTGAAACACTTTAATTCAATGATGGCAAAACATTGCCATTTAGTAGTGATAGAGAGATTTTGTAACTTTTAAAGGTAGATTAAACTTGAATTGTTCCCCATTTTAATGTATAAATCCCCTTGTTTTTTTTTTAATGTTAGACTTTGCTTGCTAAGTTCTAACTGGGATCACAGTTGCTTCACGTGATGTGGTTGCTATTCAATTATTAAGCTGCAGGGTTAAATACACCTCTAGTGACTTTCTTCCTGATAGCTACTAGAGATGTTTCTGGTATGAGAGCCAGGCCAAACTCTGTTCTTACAGCTAATCTCCATTTGATTGGAGGAACGCAGTGATTTTCGTCCCAAATAATATATGATTGGATGAGAAGAGGATGCATCATTACACCGGTGGGGGCAGATCAAGTGGCTGCAGGGACTAGATCTCGGAGCTTAAAAAACAAAACGGTGAGTAAAATCCTTTTTTTCCATTTTTTCTTTTTAGATTTGGGAGGGGGTACTTAAAACTAAAGGCAGGGGAGAACACTTTAGCATTAGGACTACAGGTTTAAATAATTAATTCTATAGTGTTTCATTAGGTAAACATAATATAAAAAGAAAACTGGTGGTCAGGTCCCCTTTAAATCGTACTTGTTACTAGATCATAATAAAATATATTTGCAGAAAATGGATAGTGGTTCGTGACAACACAATTTTATCTAGATTGTGTACATGAATACAGAGTGCATTGATTTTGATGGCCTCTGAAAGTAGTTACAGAAAATATCGTTCAATGCAACAATGAAAATTTGTAGAAAGACATTTAATTTACAATTCCCGATGGAAACTATTAAACTGAATGAACCCCTTGTGCTCATATTAAAGCTATCTTCATAAACCTGGATGCACCGTCTATATTTTTCCCCCCAAGCAAGGTTAATGCAAGGTTAAACATACACTAATACTGACTGGGCTATTTCCAGTCAATAGAGCCAGTTGACTCCAGACGGTAAGATTTTATAAGCCACTACTGTAAGCTTAGTGTGGCAAGCCAATTAATACATGTGTTATTACAGAACGTGAAAGTACGGCCCCTCAATTTATAAAAGCATATAATTGAACAGGAGTGGAATTTGCCCTTATCGTGGACATTTTTCTTGCTAGTTGGGATTCCTTCAAGTATTTTAGAGAAAATAAAGATAATATGTGTTGCAGTTATTAAACACGGCAGTCGTACATTTTCTTTAAGCTTATTAATAATTGGCAGCTTCTCACAGCAGCCCAGCGCTTTATGATTTCTTTCCCGAGAAACAGGCGTAGGAAAAATGTTCTGTAATTCCTCTTGAGCTTTAAAGCATAACATTTTAAAAATAAAGATAAAATGACTACTATTAGTATCATTAAAATTGCGCATTGTGGGATTCAAAGTATCTTTAAATCTGACAGTTTGTATAAACAGAAAAATAAAAGCAGCCAATTCTGAAACTCAACAAGAAATGTGAAGGTATTTTTATTGAAAGATTGCAATATGATCTCCAGAGATCGCCAGAGGATGTAGAACAGCACGTTCCGGGATGCTTTGCCATTCTAAAAGCTGGCAAAGCATTATGGTAGTTGCAGTTCTCCAGCATCTGGGGATCAACCATTTGCCCACCTCATACCTATACACTTTGCATGGCTTATGGTCTCCCTGCACTCATTTGCTTATAAATTAAAGGGACACTATAGTCACCAGAACAACTACAACTTATTTAATTTGTTCTGGTGAGTAGAATCATTACATTCAGGCCTTTTGCTGTAAACACTGTCTTTTCAGAGAAAATGCAGTGTTTACATTACAGCCTAGTGATAACTTCACTGGCCACTCCTCAGATGGCTGTTAGAGATCCTTCCTGGGTCACGGCTGCCTAAAATGCATCCAAACATTCAGTATCTCCTCCCTCTGCATGCAGACGCTGATTGGCCAGGGCTGTGTTTGAATCATGCTGGCTCTGCCCCTGATCTGCCTCTTTGTCAGTCTCAGCCAATCCTATGGGGAAGCATTGTGATTGGATCATGCTACCACTTCTGATGAGGTCAGCAGGCAATGGGCAGGTCAAAAGGAAACCGTGACAAAGCAAGCAGCTCCAGACTTGAATACAAGTGAGACCTTACTATATTTAGGGAGGCATGAGGGGACCAGGGGGGCTTGATGGTGGGTTTAACCCTATAGGGTCAGGAATACATGTTTGTGTTCCTGACCCTATAGTGATCCTTTAAATGGTTTGTATACTTTGCTTCAGATACAAGCCCTCCCTATCACTGAATTATCTCATGTGCCACTTGTGTACTTGTAACGACTTGTGCCTAGAGTGAGGGGGCAAGCAATACAAGCACCCCCATCTCCTGTGAGAGGTTCCAATCGCTGCATTCTATGAAGGAGCAAGGTGTTTGGTCATGTTTTGCAGCTGGTTGTACTGCTATGAGCTTAGGCAGCAGTTTCAATCATGTTTTTTCATGATAGAAACAGCTGCTAGTACTATATTGGGATATGGATAATTGGACTTTTCAGCAATTACTTGGTTTGGGCAGAGCTCACTGCAGTGTATTTGGAAATCTTTCGAATTTGCAGTAAATGTAGGAACTTCAAATATTTTTCCATTTTTATTTTTTAGTAATTTAAAAAAAAATGTTATTAGTTCATTTAAATGCATTAATTGGAGTCATATTTAACCCAGAGCATTCCTTAATTTGCGCTAAAAATTCTAAGCGGGATGTTCACTGAATGTGGTAATTTCCATGATGCATTAGATGTATGAACTGGATTAGAAATTCCCAAGAGCAATCATCAAAGAAAAATCATGAATGATGAGTCTAAAAAAAACATCAACACTTTGTAGCCTAAGGCTCCTCCACTATCTGTTACACCTACAGCCTGCCCAAGAGGATTCCATGTTTTAACATGAGTAGGATGCTACTTTGGTGCATTACTTTTTTTTTTTTTTAAATTCTTTATTTTTTCATCTTGACAAAATCAGCGAACATATCAGTGGCCACATAGCTTGAGCGAATATCAGTTATAGTACAATATCATAACTTATGTCAATGAAAGAGGAAAAGACAACATGTCCTCGAACAGTTCATATTCTACAAAAATAATTACAATTTGGCCAATCGTCAAGGAGTTTTGGAGAAAGAATGACATTACCAGTATACCAGACATGTGTTTATGTTTGCAGTTATATCTTTACTTAACCATGAGCTTTCAATAACGTAAGGGTGGGGCATCCGCCACCTCTCGAGAGTAACAACGTAAGCCTCACGTATTGTATACCAGTTATTTTCCATATCAGATGTAATAACAACATCCACTAGTCCTGCCTCCTGGACTGGACTAGCAAAAACAGGGAGAGATAGGAGTGAAAAGAGAGATAAAGAGGGGAAAGTGAGTGAGAGGTGGGACCTATTGAGAGTTTGTTGATCTAAGGTGACAAGCACCTGTTGGTGCTATGTGTGTGTGTGTGGGGGGGGATCATGTGGTCTGAGCTATTGGGTAGCCATCTCAGCCCTGTCCCAGGTCGCTACTATCCCAAGGTTCCCATATTTTAAGGAATCTTTGAAGTGAGCCTCTTAATCTGGCTGTCAGTTCGTCCATCAAATGGATCTCTCTAATTCTTGCTATAACCTCTGGGATCTTTTTGGTGCATTACTAAATCCAAACACTAGGGGGATACAGTGGGAGTGGGTCAATGTGCATGTTCCATGGCTCTTTTTGTCAAGTTAAATTTTAGTCTTTGACATCAGGAGTGCATAATGCAATTCCTGTACATGGGGGACATTGCATATGGTATAAAAAAAGAAAATAAATCATATCAGATTTAAAATAATTTTTGTTTTCCACAAAGCTGTATATTGAAGGTGTCACAAAGATTGTCAATCCAAGGAGATATCTGTTTATTACACTATTGGACATTGCCTCAGATTAAATTTTTTTGCTTACTTTTTATCACCTGCAGAAACATATGTGTGAAAGTTTGAACTTGATGGACCTGGGTCTTTTTTCAACCTAGATTTCTAAGTAGCTACGTCTCATTTCCCTATGTACCAGGGAGTAGAAAGTAAATGAATGGAATAAGGAAACAGCATCACAGCCTAAAAAAAGATCAGGGGCTGGTGGACGGTTTCCACAGAGTCACCTACTATGGTGCTCCCTCTAACACGGGGTAACCCTAATTATACAAACAATGTAAAACAAGAACAGGGTCCCTCAAAAAAAAAAAGGGAGCCCAAGGAGGGGAGAATGGATAACAGAACAAAAGACATTTTAACTTTTATTGCATCTAATGCCTCGTTTCCACTGAGCGGATTGGTTCGGGTCGGTTCGGTACGCTATTTTGAGTGTTTCCATTATGAAAGTGGCCCATACAACCGAACCGTACCGCACCGATCAGGGTCCTGCTTCAGATGTAGGGCCATAGGAAATGGTACGGTACGGTTAGGACGGAGCTACTATACAATCCATTGATTGGATGACACGCTATGCATTTTTTCTAAAACTCTGCATGGCCCCTGTAGGTCTGACTTGCAGTGGATACGCTCACCTGAATAGACTGGACCATTCTAAACCTTCCAAACTGTTCTGACCCGAACCGATCCGCTCAGTGGAAACGAGACATAAGATATCAAAAGGCAGACAAGACAAAATGACTAAGAGCTTGGGCTAGTCTAAGGTGTAAAAAAAAGGGGAGGGGGGTATAAAATGATCAGCTCTCCAAACAAATATATACAGTATATATATATATATATATATATATATGATTCCACCCAAGGGCAGCCCCAATGATCAGATACACAAATAGACAGGTAGGACTTAGGTGCTTTGGCAATTACAAAAGGGAATAAAAGAGGTCCCTAAGAAATGGGGTTACTGAAGATAAATCTAACCACTATCCATCCACCCTCAATATGACAAAAATAAAGGAGGGGACGGGGGACGGAAGATGACGTTTAAAAAAAACTCACAACTAGCCCTGGAATACTTCAGCACAGTAGTAAAACTATGAGTGCCTGACTGAACTAATAGCCCTAATAGCCAAAGAAGTTTACATATAAATAAAAATAAAAGTGATAGGGAGCAAACAGCCAGACGCGCTTTTTGGTGTGTCAGCACGCCGTCATCAGGGAGACTTACTCATAACAGACTGAAACGCGCCTATGGCTGTTTGCTCCCTGTCACTAGGCACTAATGGGTAGCACCTTTTTATTTCACAGATTTCCCTATTTAACCAAATAAATTTAACAATACCTTAATTTATTCCATGACTCTAGGCTTTAACCCCTTAAGGGGTGTGACATGTCATGATTCCCTTTTATTCCAGAAGTTTGGTCCTTAAGAGGTTAAACACAGATAAAGGCTATTTGCAGAAACTTTGGGATTTTTGTCCCCCACTTAACAAACCTGTATGTTTGACCAGCATGTTTGTTTCTATTTTTCTTTATAGATATATTTTATTTTTCTATTAGCCTTTTCGTGTTGTTTTGTCATTGACACATTATTTGGGTAAGACGTACCACCAAACCATGTTGTACAATTTGTAAATGAATAAAGCTTTTGACTTTTTTACTGCAATATTACATACTTTTATGTTTATACTCCGATTTGACCAACTCTTTGCATTAGGTGGTTAATGATGACCTCACTAGAATACATTTCAGAACATTACAATCACTTGGTGATTCACCAGCTCTCCCGTGAAAAATGACAACAGCTGGCATTGTTATAAGACTTCAAGGACTGGAATTGTAAAGTCTTTGTCTAGATGTCAATTGAGTTAACAATTGTGCTTAAAGGCTGCAATGAGCCACTGTAAAGAGTCATAGGTAAGAGAATGAGAGGTGCTTGGTCATGTCTGAAAAGCAAGGTGCACACACTGCAATTTCCATCCTATTGTAGCCTTAAATCTGATTCTGGTCAGTTAAAAAACAAATGGAGTGTCACCTTCTTGCAGTTTCAATTAATCGCGTGATTCATGAGTCAGCAGGCTTTTGTCACTTATGGATTGAGGAATCCAAATTGGTTTGATCTGCAAGGAATGATATTACTGCTGTTCTAATGTACGTCTGTAATCTACCAGTAAATGTTTTAACGGCAGGAAGGCAACCATCAACAAAAATAGTGCGTGTCCATCTCATCGGAGATAAGTAAACAGTGATGCATAGCTCTGTGCTGCTGGTACTTATTGCAAAGCATTCTGGGACAGTTGACTCAAAGAAATATTAAAAGGAAGTTTGGCTGGAATGTTGTTAAAGGGACACTGTAGGCACTGTATCTGCTTCATTTCATTAAACTGATTATAGTGTCCAGAGTTCCATAATTTCATTCAGCATTAAACAGTATTTCATATTTCAATGCTAAATTAGAGTCCCCAGCAGCCCCTCTCATTTGTGCTGCTTTGGCGAATGAGGAAGTACTAGCATGAGCAGCAACGGGCAGCTATGATTGGTTGAGAGTGTCAGCTATCTGTTTTTAGCTTATCAGAGCTCCAACTGACTGTATGAAGGGTATAACTTTAAGGAAGTGTGTTATCTCTGCCTTGGCCACACCTCCAGTAGAGGCCGGACTGTGTGTGACCTTGATCCCTTATTTAGTGTTAAACAGCTCTAAAATAGTTTAACATTGTATGGAGAGACAGTACCAGGAGAGTCCATGCATCATAAACAATTCAAAGAGATGATATGATAATAGTGAGTACAGTGTCCCTTTAAGTTTTAAAACGGAATTTGTTTAATAAAATAATATCCAATATAGTAGAATCCAAAATGGCAACACCAGAATGGTGGCATCAGATCATCCCAGACCATTTATTCTTGTCATTGACAGGAACGTAAATACTTGATATTACCTGATAAAAACATTCTTCTACTTTAAAATGACTAATTCTTCATTTGTTACATAATACCTAAAACAATTCAAATCTGCAAAATACCCTTCGTTAAACTATTACTAGTGTGAAAGAAGTCCCTATTGCATCTAGGAGGGCAGGACTAGTGCAGCAACCCAACTTAGCAAACTTAAATCAATTTAATTAGGGCCTAACCTAATGCTGTGCATGGCTGAACTACTGGCGACCTAATGAAATAGCACGGAGACTCAATTTTGTGTCCTGAATCAGAGGTTAAGAACAACTGTATTAGAACCATAATTTGGCATTGGGTAGAGGAAGTACAATATTCCTATACTATTAATAGGCACAATTAAAGGGACACTACAGGCACTCAGACCACTTCAGCTAATTGAAGTGGTCTGGGTGCTGTGCCCCTATTGCACTTAGTGTTTACATTGCAGCTCTAAGGCTTCCGGAATCCAAACCGACCTTTGGTCGGTTATCTGATGCTGTAGTGTCAGATTTTCCCCAAAGGAAAGCATTGAATAATGCTTTCCTACGAGGAGGTCTAATGTGCGCGTGGGGCCATTGCCATGCATGCACATTAGGTCTCCCCCACCGGCTGACATCGGTGGGGGAGGAGCGTGGGCAAATCTGACACTACGGCATCAGATAACCGACCAAAGGTCGGTTTGGATTCCGGAACCCCTCTAGTGGCTGTCTGATAGACAGCCACAGAGGGCAGACTTAGAAGGACATGGGATTGGGGGGCAGAAGGAAGGGGGGCATTGCAGGATCCTGCAGTGCCAGGAAAATGGGTTTGTTTACCTGGCACTGGAAAGTCCCTTTAAGACAAACACTGTATCAAGCAATAGAGTTCACTGTAACGGTAAAATAGTTATGTTAGGTTAGATTCCGGTCAAGATTTAAACATGTTTTTGTTCATATGTATGATTATGGAGAGAACCTAGGCTGGTCACTTATCAGGCGGATCTCACCCACAAGGTCTGTCCAAATCCAAAATAACAGCGACTACATGAGAAATACACTATCCCTAGATGATCATTTTGTTTTCTTTGGGTCACATTAGTGAGGCGTAGAACAGTAGAACTACACCCCGGCTAACACAATCACCACTGGTAAGCCCTGTATAGTAGCCTTTGCCAGGAGTGTCAGATTAATCAGGAAAGTTTCCACACAATGCGTTTTGGAGATTCTGGAACTTTGGGCAGTGTGTCCAGAATTTAGCAAAATCAGAGAATCAGGGTTGTTTTTTTTAAATTAAATAGATTTAGAAAGCAATGATCGATATATATATATCCATACAATGAGCAATACCCTTGTCGGTCCGTGTATTGCAGCAAGAGTCATAGTTTTTGCCCAGCATTGCTTATGGAAAAAGCAGACCGGCAGTGTTGGGGAGGGAAGAATTAAATTTGGAAGGATGTAAGTGCTACATAATTATGTTAAATGAAATTTTCATATGAGCATTAAATAATCCAAAGTATTTTCTTTTGTGTGACTGCTAATTTCGGAAGCAATGATAACTCTCCGAAGAACTCATTCTCTCCTGGCTATTATACTGATGTTGCTTAATGGAATTCACCTTTTAATTACCGCTATATACCTGAAATGTTAAGTATAATGTGTAGTTATCAATCAGTTTTAGAATACTGCCAAGTTCCTGGGTGTTTCTAATTCACCAGAATGACTGTAGAAGCTTTGAGCAGCTCACACAACCAGAACAAAAAGACACTCATGCAATTTGCTACTCATGCAGTTTTAGTCCTTTTATGGTCTCCCTGCAAGGAAGTTGCATGTTGTGTATTTGCTTGTAAGATTTACAGAAAAGAAAAGCATAATTCAAATTCTACCAAGGATAGTTTTTTGACTGGCAAGATAACAAAGTGAGTAATTGCGTGTTGTGTTTTGGTTTTTGTCTACATTAAGTCAGTGATAACTTGGCACCCCATCCCCATATATCTTACCACACTCACACATACATATATGGATACATATACAACTATCCATTCACCTAGCAACATGATTGTTCATATATATCTATATATCACATTCACATACACAATCATGTACAGAGACACACTATCACACACAGTCACATACATACATAGAATATTCACTAAAGTCCAAATGGACCTGTGCTGAATGTGGAAAAACCATCCAGCTGTGTACAAGGACAGTAGCAACATGCCCTACGTACCTTCTCTCTCTCTCTCTCTCTCTCTATATATATATATATAATACAGAACAGATTCTTTTCAGGATGCACACCCTGCCCCTCTACTTTGGAGGTGACCACAGGAAAGCACAAATTTGAGGAGGGTCTCTGGAAACAGTTTAAGCAGTAAGTATTGCAGTTCGCATCTCTAACGTTAAAATTAGCATAAAACCCACCGATATTGAGAAACTGTAACATAGTGGTGGGCTTAAAACAATAGGCCCACATGGCGTAACCCTATCCTTATATTTGTTAGCTAAGATAAGTGATTTTAAGCAGACTTGTCCGATTTTACAAAAATCTGTATTTTTTTGTGTGGACTGTTCCTTAATCTGCATTTTAAATGTCCCAGTATCTAGCCAAAATATCATAAATTTCATTATATGCACGGTTGAATGTGGTCACCAAAATAGGACCTGAAATAGACCACATAACATCTCTGCCAGCAATCGTTCTCTTCATTTTGTTGCTAATATTATATTACCACATCTAAAATTGGATTCATGGTTAGATAAAGGGTATTTCCTCCAAGATAAGTATTTCCTCCAAGATAATCTCATTGCCAATTTGGCTTATCTCTGTGTCTAAAGCTGACTCAGATCGCTCTTTGGAAATCAAACTACATCTATTACATTCTCCAGCCTTTAGATAAGCCCTCGAGACTACATCAGATTGATATTCTTTTTCTAAAGAATGGTGAATCAGAGATAAAGCTCCCCAATCCAATAAAAATGAACAATTTCTGTGTCAATGTAAGTATTGGCCAAAGAGTATGTTTTGGATCCTTTTAACATCGTGAGAGCATTGAGCCTGCAAATATCTACTGACGTCAGCTGACTAAAATATATAGGTGAGAACGCAAATAAACTTCTAAAAAATAATTCCAAGAATTTCATTTTGGATTTCCCTCTAAAAGAAGCAATGATTATCCAAGATACCACATAAGACTTGTGATGTCCAATCACTATATACTATCATACCTCACACTAGTGGCTGTCTAGCAATTAAAGAAATTTTAACCAATGAACGCAAGATAGCCGATACCCAAATTAAATTTATCTTAGAAGGTATAGATATAATTTTAAAAAATAACTACTTCTGGTTTCTTAACTCTTTTTATCTCCAAAACAGAGGGACTGCTATGGGAACTAGGTTTGCCCCCAGTTACGCTAATTTATTCATGGCACATTGGGAATCTGAAGCCATCTTTGGTGACCATGCCTGGAGGGCAAACCTAGTTTCCTATTTTAGATATATTGATGACCTCTTTTTTTATCTGGGAAGGCCCAGAAGATAGTCTTATTTCTTTTATTAACCATCTAAACACTAACGACAGAGGCATCATTTTATCTTACGAATATAGTAAGGAACATATTAATTTTTTAGATCTCAATATTTTCATTCAAAATTGCCAAATACACACCAAAATTTTTTTTAAGAAAGTCTATGCAAATTCTGCCATTGACAAATCCAGTTGTCATTACCAACTTTGCTCGACAGTGCCCCCAAAAGTCAAATTTTAAGACTTCGGAGAAATTGTTCACAATTAAATGATTTTAAACAACAAGCAGATTTCTTAAAAAATAATTTTATTGAAAAGAATTACTCTGAATCAATTTTAACAGACACTGTCAATAACATTCAACAAAAAGACAGAGACGAACTCTTGACATATAAAGCAAAAGAGACTGATGGTACTATGACCTACCTATTATTTTTAATTATAATAACAAAAGTGGCCATATTAAGAAAATTATAAAAAAACATTGACATATTTTAAAACATGATGATACTCTTAACAAAATTTTACCAGAACACCCCAATATAGTTTTTAGAGGAGCCCCTAATTTTAAATCAATTTTAACTAAGAATTTTACAAGGGAAACAAAAATTAAACCATCTTTATCACTGTTCCCCCAAATCATTTGTTTCTAATGCAACGAAAAAGGTATACAAAATTAATGATTTTATTAACTGTACTACACATTTTTTTATCTATCTGCTCGAATGCCCTTGTGGCCTCCAATATGTTGGAATGACCACAAGGTGCTTAAAAATAAGACTAAGTGAACTTTGCAGAAACATTAAAAATGGATATCTGAATCATTCAGTGTCCAAACATTTTATTAAACACAAAACACAAATGTAAATTGCCATAATACAGACATTATCTCGAGTATAAGTCGAGTGGAGGTTTTTCAGCACAAAAAATGCACAAACTTATACTCGAGTATATACGGTAGCTAGAATTATGGCTTACCTGAAAACAATCAATCAATATCTTCACAATTCCACTGAAACAAAATCACTAATGAAATAGTGGTAGAAGGCCAGATTGCCCCTACAAGGGTATTTAATCTAGATATCCAATTGTTGCAAAAAAAAATAAAAAAAAATAATAATATACGAGGGTGCAAAACTGACCCCCATTGCCATTCCATTGCTCTGTAGAAAATAATTCCCATTAAACTAAAAAAAGTATGGTTAAGATGAAACCTAACAAACTCAACAATGCTGATTAACTGTGAGTTAGGTAAGAGAAGATCATTACATAAAAATAATCTAAAGCTTCTAGACCAAATTTATAGCCTATCTTGGTATACAATGAATTGATATCGATGGTAAGCCAGCTGAAACTGACCTCTGGAATGAAATCTGCTAACAGCTGAAATAGGTAGCAAGTGCCTTAGATTTAGAAATGCAATTGTATCCCTGTAAATGAACATGCAGGTTTATAGGGACAGACACATACTTCTATAGACACACAATTACATACATTTATAGACACACAACTATGAACACTGTTACATAAATACCTAGACACATAATCACATATAAAGTCACATGCATTTGTAAATAGAGACACAAGTGCACCCACTCATATGCACACGGTCACATACTCAGACACCTACTGTATTGAATGTACCTCCCTCTCCTTCCCCCTGATTCTTACTTTTTTTGAGGGGAGCTGGAGTTGAGGGGAGGAACAGACATGGGGTGCTGGTGTACTACCCTGTACCCTGGCCTTCACTGCTAGTATCAGTGAAATTTTACTGGGTCTCTGGTCTAATTAAGAATACAACTATTTGACGAAACAGTTTCTTGCAAAAATAAATATATCCTGTTTTCTAGCCTCCTCTCTAGCCATAAACAGTGTGCTGCTGATGCTATCTGGGATTTGTTTCAAAAAATAACAACACACATGCACAGGTATTCAGTGTAATCCCACCACACTATGTACCTAATTAAGGGGTTTGTAGCAAATTTCTGTTCCCCAGCCCCTGACAGTCACCTGGAATGCACTATCCCCAATCTGTATTTTTATAATAGGCAGATGGTTTGTGAATTAGCTGCCTGATGTAAAATACAAAATTTAGAAAAACACTAATATCCCCCAGTCCCCTACACCAACTGTTGAGATCCAGGGCTAAATAGCCCCACACCCTGGGCTTCAGTCTTCAAGGCCCTTTCCCTAGCAATGCCTATGTTAAACCCATGAAAAATTAAAAAAAAATCCTGTTCCTTTGTGATAAAAAGGTAGAATTTTCACAAACGTGTTACAGACTGATGTTAACTCCCACGATTCTCAATCCTCTTCCAATAGCCTGTACATTATTGCAAAATCTCCTGTTGGTCTTTTAATTCTGTGGCCAAAATTACTCGTTAACAATTTTCCTCTCCCTGTTTTTTTGCAGGCTTATATGCTCTGTGTATTTATTACTCAGCGAGTCCTAAATGATATGCAAATTAGAGGCATGGAATATGAAGACTAATTCGTATACAGCCCTTGTAATTAAAAGGGCAATTAGGGGAGCTTGTGCTTTGATTAAGATGCTTTCAATTTTAATATTGGACTGGGAGATGACTTTTAAAATTCGCATTATCTTTTTCTATTTCCCTATCATTTGCATGTAATTAGAATTCCTTCAGCAGGCTGAAGGTTCCTGTAATTACATATATGAAACAAAAGACAGGCTACTATTAACCCCTACTTAATATCAGAGGGGGGCTGGCTTTTTCATAAGTCTAAAAAATTGATTTGCAGTTGAGATAAAAAAAACAAAAAAAAACAACATAAATAAAAAAAAACAACAAAATGACAAATTGAAGGCTGAGTGACAAATTTGGAGTCTAATGAGGATTCTTGGGATCATCAATCAAGCAGCTTTTAAAAAATTTCTTGTATATATGCATGTGGTATTATAAATAAGACTCGTGGATCTATCATAATTATAAAAAAAAAATGACAGTTCCGGCTTCCGTAATGTTGAGACCCGAGAATGAGCTTGTCTTCGTAAGTGGTATTCAAATATGAGACTTCCAGCTGTTACACAAAATAATTTCACAAAACGTTTCCAGGCAAAAATGCAGAATGTGACTTGCAAAGGCTCACAAATTGTTCTTCGCTAGCCGCTTGTGTTCTTGTCTTCGGCTAGCCCTGTCCTATTATATAGGTCCAGCTTTGCCTGGTGTAATGCAAATAATCTTAAAAGAAATTTGGGATTCCTCTAGTTAAATTCATTTAAATTCATTTAAATTGGAATCACTTAACATTCAGGGTTCTTCCATTAACTGAGGATTTGAGGAGGAGTTCAACCTTGTTTTAATTAGATTTTTTTCTACAGCCTGCTGCAGTTTTATGGTACCATAAGTTCTCTGACAACCCCCCCATGTAAGTAGTCAATTGTTGGTAATGGTTTGGTTTCGTCTCTGGGGTACACTGGGTGCTGCGTCTCTGCAGCTGTAATTGAGCGCTGGAAGGTCAGTTAACTTTTCTGACCTAAAAGCCAGCTCTTTGGCTGAGAGCTCTAGATGAGCTCTATTAGCCAATGAGCTAATTCCTGAATCGCCAGGCTTGGCGCAGTGAAATGAGTTTCTGGTTGAAGAGAGGCACGGAGCAGCGCCCACAGATCCAAGGTAAGAATTCAAACTATTATCAAACAATTTGACTACTTACCATTAGGTTGGGCCAAAGTACTCCTGGCACAACAATGACTACAGCATGCTGTAGTGGTTATGGTGCAAGTAGTGTTCCCTTAAGGCAGAATCATTCTAAAAAGAATTATTTTAATTAAGCCCTATGCTATGCAATTTGTGTACAGAGCAATATCAAAACGTATATCTGCCCTGCATTTTTTTTTTTGTAAGTTCGTCATTTAATTAAATTTCTCTTATTTATGATGCATTTTCTTTTTAAACAAAGTTTCCAGCTAAAGACAAAATCTGAAAATATGATGGACATAAATGTTACGGTTTGCTGGAAAGTTAGGTTTATCACTGTAGGGTTATGTTTATTTTGAATACATTATGAAGGCAATTATTATTATTATGTGTTTTGGGAAATGAACAGAATGGCCATTTTAAATCATTGGAATAAGCACAGCAAGACTAATCTCCTAGCTCCCATGGACCAATTAGTGAAACGGAAGCGGTTTAAAAGCACGCACCTATCTGCATTGCATATGAGGGTCTCAGTATGGCTTGTAAACCATAAAAATGTGTTTTATGGGATCTCAGGATTCTTCTGCCTCTGGAGACAGATGCTCACATGAAGCTAAATACTCCTGCATAATGAGGTCAACTGAAATTCTCTCCCCATCCCTTTCTGTATTCACATCGTAGCCATAGCAGGTGCAGGCTCATTTGTGCATTTACCAATTTGCAGGGAATTGTAGTAATTCAACACAATAAGGTATGGGTAGTCTGGTGACCATTGCTCAAAGCCACCAAATGCTGTGCAGACAGGTGTCGTATAACCGACAGTATATGAAGTGCATTGTAATATACAACCTTAAATGAGGAACAATTCTGCATTATTCTGTCTTTTTGTCTACATTTGCTATTTGCTATAGAGCCGTGTTTAAACTGTCTGACAGATGACAGTTTGGCCATCTTAATGATGATAGATTCAATGATCATACAATGACCTTGTATTACAAAAAAGCCCTGAGCCAAACTCAAGTTAATGGCCAATCAGCACGCAGATAAAACATCTATAACTCCTTTTGAAGGGTCACCTGTTGTTCTTTGGCGTTTTTTTTGCTACTGGTTCCTGTAATATAGTAACTAAACTAGTCAGTTGTAACTGATATTAGCTAGAGACCAATTCACTCCTCTGACAAATAAGAATACAGAAAAATTCATATAGAATACAACATACTGTGTAGCGATCATTACCAAAGTACATGTCCCTTGGTTGTTTCTATGTTTGGTGGTGGTAGAAACTTGAATTTAAATTAGTACTATCGGGATGTTTGCCATTTTTTTTTACATAACATGCTTAACACTTTGAGAGTATAAAATATTTTTTATAAAGAAGTAGAAAAAGGTGACGCCACAGAGATAATATTTACTATTAAATATAAGCAAGTAATAATATAGAAATAAACAATGATACATAATACAGAGAGAGAATAATAAAAAAATAATGGTCAGAATTGTGGCAACTGACATTTAATGTGGATAAGTGCAAGATAATGCATCTTGGACGTAAAAACCCCAGGGCAGAGTACAGAATATTTGATAGTCCTAACCTCAACATCTGAGGAAAGGGTTTTAGGGGTGATTATTTCTGATGACTTAAAGGTAGGCAGACAATGTAATAGAGCAGCAGGAAATGCTAGCAGAATGCTTGGTTGTATAGGGAGAGGTATTAGCAATAGAAAGAGGGAAGTGCTCATGCCATTGTACAGAACACTGGTGAGACCTCACTTGGAGTATTGTACACAGTACTGGAGACCGTATCTTCAGAAGGATATTGATACCTTAGAGAGGGTTCAGAGAAGGGCTACTAAACTGGTTCATGGATTGCGGGATAAAACTTACCAGGAAAGGTTAAAGGATCTTAACATGTATAGCTTGGAGGAAAGACGAGACAGGGGGGATATGATAGAAACATTTAAATATATAAAGGGAATCAACACAGTAAAGGAGGAGACTATATTTAAAAGAAGAAAAACTACCACAACAAGAGGACATAGTCTTAAATTAGAGGGACAAAGGTTTAAAAATAATATCAGGAAGTATTACTTTACTGAGAGGGTAGTGGATGCATGGAATAGCCTTCCAGCTGAAGTGGTAGAGGTTAACACAGTAAAGGAGTTTAAGCATGCGTGGGATAGGCATAAGGCTATCCTAACTATAAGATAAGACTAGGGACTAATGAAAGTATTTCGAAAATTGGGCAGACTAGATGGGCCGAATGGTTCTTATCTGCCGTCACATTCTATGTTTCTATGTTTCTATGTTATATATATATATATATATAAATATATAAAGAACAGTCCAAAAAGAGTCCAGTAAAACCTTGGGATGAGAGAACAATCACAGTTTTATCTGAGGTATAGACGTCTATGGAGTAGTGGGATCCGAATGAAAGAGAAAAGAAAATCTAATAGTGCAATAAAACCCAAATACGTAGCAGCCAATAAAAAAGGTCAATATGGTTCTACTCACGTTTTTGAGAGCTAAAAACTAGCTCTAGTATAAACAGCGTACAGTGGTATAATCCCCACTTATCTCGTCAGATAGGGACCATATGTAACATAAAAAACAACAATAGTGCTCACTGTGAGAAAACCAGGAGAGTTTATAAAAATACCAAATGGTTACTCACATTTGATTTGGCAGACGCACTGCTCAATGATAGGGTGTAAGTTTTATAATCCCCACCAAGGATGCTTTGGAGTAGTATCTCTCTGGAACAAGTAAAACTCAGATACCAGGTAGTAAAATAATAAAAATGGTAAAAAGATAAAATTGCTAACTCACAACAAAGAAAGTGGCCAAAATACATTTATTAAAATAGTTAGTTAAAATTTGCACAATGCGTTTCTCCCCTTAGGGCTTTCTCAAGTGGAAATCCATAATTCCATAATTGCACTATTAGATATTCTTTTCTCTTCCATACGGATCCCACAAACCCCTTGATCCCACTACTCCATAGACGTCTCTACCTCAGATAGAACTGTGATCGTTCTCTCATCCCAAGGTTTTACTGGACTCTTTTTGGACTGTTCTTTTTATATATATATATAGAGCAGTCCAAAAAGAGTCCAGTAAAACCTTGGGATGAGATATATATATGTATGTATATATATTATTTTTTTTTTTATTCTCTCCCTGTATTATATATCATTGTTTATTTCTATATTATTACTTGCTTATATTTAATTGTACATATTATGTCTGTGACACCACCTTTTTCTACTTATTTATACCTATATACATATAGGGCCTGTAAGGGAGCCCTATCCTTTAGGGTGCTGCCTTTATTTAAGTTTTTAAGCGCTGATCCTTCTGTACACTTTTCTCATAAAATATTTTTAGTACAGGCAAACTTTTATTTATTGCAGAAGAATTCAATTCACTTCCCCACTAAGACTTAGAACTTGGCCGAGCCAACTTTTATTTTAATAACAGTTTACAGTATTTTGGGCAAGACTGTATTTGCTTTGAACACCCAGATCTCTCAGGTCTGACCATTGTTCACTGAGACAAAGTGCACAAGCTCTGTTGAGGTGATAAGGAACCATTGGTAAAAAATTATCGCACAACTGCTCCCACAATGCTTCAACATGAGGATGGTGTTGGATGCTGTGTCGACTTTGGTTCACAAAAGTAATTTTAAATTAATTATAAGAAAGTACCATTTCAGTGTCATTATAAATGAAAAAAAATGTCCCCACATTTTTCTCACACGCCTTTTAATCATTGTAACCCAGAATTATAAGGCAACCCTAGGAGGCCACCTTGGTCCCTGGGGTTCAACCATGAATTTTTTAGGCCCCATTAACCATTTCTGCATGAAAAATGAAGAGGGCCCTAAATTGGTAATCCACCTTGTGGGACTATTGTGCTTCTCTGTTCTAACCCCTTGCTGCTGCAGTGTATTAATGTTAATTATTTTTCTATATTTTATACTATTTTTATTGGCCTTTCATGTATAATACTTGGGATATATTAAAGGAACAGACTAAATCCATGAAATGCTGTAGCATTTATTTATGTGTACTTTAGGTGTGTAGAGTGTGTCCTCCTTTTTCATTTTACAAAACGTTCAGATTTCAATAGAAATTAGACCTTTTAGGAATTAACCTTGCTACACCACCCGGCTGTCAATCAAACAACCAATCCTGTTACTTCCTGGTAGTGTAGTTCAGTGGAGCTAAACTTAAGAGGCAGGCGAGTGCCCAGAGCAGAGGAATGTCCTTTTAAAATGTTAATACCTGTTCTACCTGCTCTACGTGTTTGTCCAAAGCAGAACTAAAGTGCACTAGTTGGGACCAATGAACATGGTAGGTTGAACTACATACATTGAGCCAGTTGTATAACTTTGAGTTCTACAGTAATGCCAACTGTAGCCATAGAACTCTACTCATTATTGTTACAGTCACGGTTTGATCAGAATATGGCTGTACCTACAAGAAAATACTTAAGGATATCCAGTTCAGCATAAAACATACTGGACATATTTAATCCTCATATGGACAGCAATAGTTCAGAAAGTGCGGGGGATCATTTCTACACCTTCTTCATCAGTCATCACTCATACTATTTCTTATCCTCTGTCCAGTTCTCCTTCTTTTGACCTTAAGACTGAAAATATACGAGGACAGACCAGTTCTTATTATGTTTTTCATTCTAACAGACTCCATGAACTTGTACAGCTCTTTGCATTAATGTTTCTCACAGTAATAGACGTAAGTTCAGCAACAGAATGTTTGTGGATGTAAGGTCCAGGGATACAGCAGCATTAATTAATTCCTGTCCCTGTGTAATCAGGAACGTCTGTGTTCTAGCGATGAGCTGTCAGAGGTGACAACAAGGAAGGAGTTCCCAGATAAAAAATGCAAACAAATCACATAGTCCAGTAAAAAAAACTCAAAAGAAAAGAGTAGAAGCTGTCTCGGCGGCAGTTGATGGCATTTAATGCATTACATATACTTTATTAAAGGGACACTATAGTCACCCAGACCACTTCAGCTCAATGAAGTGGTCTGGGTGCCAGGTCCCCCAGTTTTTAACCCTTCAGATGTAAACATAGCAGTTTCACAGAAACTGCTATATTTACATTGCAGGGTTAATCCAGCCTCTAGTGGCTGTGGCTGTCTTCCTGACAGCCGCTAGAGGTGCATCTAGCGCGCAGAGCGTCCATAGGAAAGCATTGAGAAATACTTTTGTATGGACTTTTTGAATGTGCGCGCTGCTCTTGCCGTGCATGCGCATTTGGCTCCACTCGGGAGCTGATGTCTGCGTTGGAGAAGAGGTCACCAGTGCCAAGGGAGGGGGTCCTGAGGGTCGGGGGTCCCAAGGATGATGTAGTGTCAGGAAAATGAGTTTGTTTTCCTGACACTATAGTGATCCTTTAATAATATCCTGGTGTAACAAAAGTGCCTGTAGCGCAGTTTATATGGCCACCTCAGTGCAGATGGCCACCTCTGCTAGGAGACACTGTGTGGGTTTAACAAATAAAAAGCCAATAACACAAGCATATTGATTCCTTGATAATTAGTGGTCTTATCACGGTTTACTAATCCGTTGCGTTTCTGTTGTACATTGCTGATAAATGCTATCACTGTATGTGTGTAGAAGGACAGAGGACCATTCGTTGGGGATCAGGTACGTTAAGTTAAGGCAAGCCAGACTATTTAATTCATATTTTGATTTGATTATGAAATGCATCTCTTTACTAGTGTTCTAATTTATTTCAGATATATAAAATGAGGTAGATTCTGTTTCTAAAGTCTGGAGAAAGAAGTCATTGAGCAGTAGAATGAAGAAAAGTCTGAAGATTGAAAAAAACTTTTTGGACAGAAGAATGTAAAAACACAAAAGAGTAAGGTGTTTCGAATTCCAGAATAACTTTTCAAAATGTGTTTTCAAATAACCATGAGCCTGGAAGAAAATCTCAGCATCCTATTAAGGAATTGGGTGGTAGATACATGTGTTTGATGTTACTAAGGACGTGCATGATAAGGAAGGGTGGTGCATGTGACATTTATTCAAGAACGTTAATTTAAACATTTCTGTAGATGCTTATAGTGGAAACAAGTATGACGTTATGGGAATTCCAGTAGAAGGACGTGAGTCAAAGAAAATCACATTTCTTAGATAAGTAAGGATGGACCTAGGGAAGACGAGGGGACAAACTAGGCAGGAAATTAAAAGCTTATTTAGATAAGGCGTGAGAGCCTAATGCTATTATCTTTGCAAGTCACTCAGTGCTTCTGATTTTATATATATAAGGTAAAAGTGAAGATTTTTAACACTAATTTTAGTTCTTAACTAGGTTCAGTTACGTGTCTTCCTACTAATGATGTAGGCTTTTAAATGTCAGTACATAACAAACAAGCTAAGAATTTGGCAATCGATATTAGTTTCTTACAAGTTAGCAACATTTTTAACAAACATATCTGATTGTCATATATTGTCTTACGGCGGAACTGTCAAGTTGCAAAACGTACAATTTCAGTCACCTGAATAAAGGCTGTCGGAGCATTTACTGTGGTCTATTGATGAGTACAGCGGAGGTAAATACAAGACAAAGTAGATGTCTTACTTTGCAATACTTTTTGGGAACTGGCAGTAACATCCTTCAGAGATGCTCTGCATCAAGGGCTGGCAGTGTTTGGTTTGATAGAAAATTTTTCACGTTTTTCACAAAACTCACATACCTTAAATCTTTGCGATTGAAAGCCACCAACTGAAGCAAAAACTGACACAGTGCTGTGTTAGCAAAGGCCTTACACCAGGCTTCCCTAAATCCCGGTCCTCCAGATGTTGCTGAACTACAACTCCCATGATTCTATGAATTAAATAGATAGAACATCTGGAGGGCTGTACTTTGGGGAAGCCTGCCTTACACAATTCCTGCCTTCGTCCTCACTCCAGCAGTAATCTGACTACAGAATTTCCAACATTTATCCAACTGCTTTAAATCTTTTATTATCTAGACTAGTTGTTTTTACCTTTAATTTATAAATGTTGCAATAAAAAGGAATTAGTGAATTCTAACCTGCGGTGTCCCTTTAACCCCTTAAGGACACATGACATGTGTGACATGTCATGATTCCCTTTTATTCCAGAAGTTTGGTCCTTAAGGGGTTAAACTAGAAACAAGCAGGACGGCACATTGCTACTGTGTTTATTTTTCTCATGTTACGGATTGCTGAAATCTATTCTATTTATTTATTTCTGTTTATGTCTATTCTATTTATTGGAAGACAGAAGCCAAACGTTATGGAATCGCTGGTAGGACTGCAATTTTGGTGAGTGAGCGAGTGCATCTTAACCCTTGTCACTATGCGAAGATAAAGAGAGACTTAATTAAAAACATGTAGCAAACTACACTCTCTTCAGCACCATGCTGTTATACACCAAACTACATTCAATCCCCCAAAGGAGTTTATTTTCCATTGCTCTTTAATAATAAGAACATTTTAATTATTTAAAGAAGTCATTAAATGGTGTGCTGTACTGTAAACAATGGGGTGATGTCTGAATGATCTTTCGGTTACAGATCAGATGAATGTAGCAGTTCGAGCTATATATACGATATCTACAGGTGGTATTTTATATAGTTAAATAACTAACCTTTCAGCTTCCCACTGGGCCCTGCAAGAAAAGGTCTTTGTAAACTTTAGCATTATACAACATGCAGACCAGTATCCTGTTTTCATTTTTTTTTCTGTTGAACAAAAACAGGATATATTGGATCAGACACAGGTTTCCACTCCTTCCTGATCTTTTGTTGTGTTTTTGACTGTATTGTGTTATATGATTCTTTGTTCGTCTGAAACCAGCTGATTATTAACGGTTTCTAAAGTAATTCTTTAAATCTCACTATACCAGCCGTCAGTGTCCATTGCGTTGATTTTGTACATTTGTAGAGAATATGCCATGTAATGAGGACGATAATGCATATTTAAGTTGAAAATTAGCACATGCACATGTAAATTTTAAAAATACCCCCGAACTAGTGCATTTTCTAAATCATACTTGTTAATTGTCCCGGATTTCCAGAGGCAGTCTCTAGTTTTCAACTTCCTTTCTCAGTATCCTGCCAGCTCTATAATGTTTACATTTCTAAATTTCTTAAAGCCTGAATCAGCTATTTTTTGTATAGCTCATAGACCTATAATTTGTAAATACATAATAAAATTAGCGGATTTTATATTTTGTCATCTAATTTTGGAAACTGGATTATTTTTTGCTCTGTTTATTAGGTTTAAATACTGTATATAGCTTCTAAATATATTTTATTAAAGCAGCCGCCTAATGCTGTTACCATCCATTAGTTATAGACACAATATATTAAAATGCATGTAATATAATATGGCATAAATAGTCCTGCAATTTGCGAGGTGGGACCTCCATGGATCGGGTTTGTTGTTCCAGCAGATCCCACAGATCCTCAATCTCAATCAGATTGAGATCTGGGGAATTTGAGGCCAATTCAACACCTTGAACTATTTGTCATGTCCCTGAACTATTTTGGCAGTGTTGCAGAATACACTATCATTCTGAAAGAGGCCACTGCCATTAGGACCATTACCATCAAGGGGGTGTACGTGGTCTCTAGGTAGGTGGTACGTGTCAAAGTAACATCCACATCAATGCCAGGACCCAAGATTTCCCAGCATAGCATTGCTATATCATAATACTGCCTCCGTTGGTCTGCCTTCTTCCCATAGTACAACCTACTGTCATCTCTTTCCAAGGTAAATGACACACATCCGACCATCCACCTTTAAGAAAACATGATTCATCAGACCTAGCAACCTTCTTCAGTTGCTTCATTGTCCATTTCTGATGCTCACGTCCCCATTAAAGGTGCTTTTGGCAGTGGACAGGGGTCATCATGGGCCCCATACGAGGCAAACTGTAATGTGTTTTTTGAAACTTTCTTTCATGGCCAGCATTAAGTTTTTAAGCAATTTGAGCTACAGTAGCTCTTCTGTGCGATCGGACTAATCTAGCTTTCAATCCCTATGTGTCTCAATGACCCTTGTATGCCCATTAACCATGATGCCAGTTCACCAGTTGTCCTACTTTAGACCACTTTTGGTCAGGACTAACCATACCAGGAACACCTCACAAGACTTGCCATTTTGGAGATGCTCATTACCCAGTTGTTTACCCATTACTATTTGGCTCTTGTCAAAGTCACTTGCCCATTTTCCTGCTTCCATCATGAGAATTTCAAGAACTGACTGTTCACTTGCTGCGTAATATATCCCACCCCTTGACAGGTGCCATTGTAATGATATAATTAATGTTATTCATTTCACCCGTCGGTGGTTTTAATGTTGGGCTGATCAGTGTAAAAGCAGAGTATACATGGCATCTCTATGTCAAGAGGCTTTTCAGATTGCGAGTACAGTTTACACATTTGTCCTGATATGTGCCTGGACCCGTCCTTTAGTCCTTCTCACCTTCTTTTTTCCAGTTACTATTCAGAATCATTTTACAGATTAAACAGTAAAGGTTCCTTATCTATGCAAGAGAGAGTAACATTGTTTAAAGACCCTCTCTATGGGGATGAAGCCCAGCTTAGAATTGTGTTTCTGTGCCAGGGAAGAAACGTTGTTGGAGCAGAAGAAAAAGGGAAGTGTGGGTTTCTTTTAAATAATGTAATTTTAATTGTGAATTTCAATAAAATACAGAACTAAACCAAATTCAAGAACACGAGATGTGTAGCTAACTAAAAGGTTATTCCGGCCGTGGTGGTAGGAGTCGGGCTGTACAGTGTTTCAGCTTGCATTGGTTAAATAGGTGGTTCCCTTCTTGGAAAAGGATCTTTAAAGACCAATTTATTATGATGACCTAGCTAATTATCAGTCTTTATGAGGTTAGAAATAAATACCAGCTTTCACTATGATGTACTTGGTACCTGAGAAACAGGAACTAGGCAGAAAGCAAATGTTATTATAGGTTGCTGATTAGAACAATAACCAAATAAAAATAGATGTAAAATGTGATGGCTCTTTTAGTGTAACAAATTAGGCAGCACTGTTTATTTTAATAGTCTATAGCATGCTGCTAACAGTATTTTTAAAGGAGGAAGCACCATTAAAAATTGAAAACCTTCATTACATGATATCCTAAAGTCATTGCACATTCTACCACTCTTTTTATGCTTAGGGATAAAATATATTTATAAGCTAAGAAGGACTAATTATCTTAATTACTTATTACACGTAAGGAGGTAAATGTTTGTAAAGAGCACCAGCAGTGGTGTATTTAGGATTTGTGCTGCCCTAGGCAGGACGGTGCTCGGGCAACCCCCCAATTTAAATCTTCCCCACCCCTTCCTGTCAAGGCCGCACTTTGACAGACAGACGCTCACTCACTGACAGACGCACACACTCACTGATAGATGCATACACTCATTGACAGACACACACTCTCATATACACTGGCAAACAATGACATACACACACTCACTGATTTGACACACTGATAGACAGACATACACTTACTCGGATACACACTCACTGATAGACTCACTGACAGATGCACACTCTCACTGACAGACGCACGCACTCACTGACCAACTCATACACACTGACTGACCGACACACACACACATTCACTGACAGACACACACTCACTTAAATTCACTGACACACACTCACATTCACTGACACACTCACTGACACACAGTCACATTCATTGACACACACTCACATTCACTGACACACTTACTCACATTCACTGACACACACTCACATTCACTGACACACACTTACATTCACTGACACACACTCACTCACATTCACTGACACACACACACACACACACACACACACACACAAATTTCTCCCACTCACTATTATTAATTTTATTATTTTTTAAAATTGAAATCCACCCAGCCTCCCTACTTTTGGGATAGCTGGGTGGATATTTCACCTGAGGTCCAGTTGGGCTGTTGGGCAGGGAGGCGGCCGGACGTGCAGGCGGGCTAGTGGGCAGGCAGGCGGGTGGCGAGGGAGCACTTTCCCCTGAACTCTCTCTGCTCAGCTCCCTCACGTGCCGCAGAGTGATGCCGGGAGCTGGCATATGACGTCATATTCTCGCTCCCGGCATTACTGCGGGTCGCACGAGGGAGCCCAAAGGTGGCCAGCAAGCCAGCTCTTGGGCTCCCATAAATCGAGGCATACAAGGTATTTGCCTGGGCCTTTGGGGCGGTGTTTTTTGCTGCCCCCTGGAAATTGCTGCCTAAGGCAAATGCCTTGTTTGCCTTGCGGTAGACACATCCCTGAGCACCAGGCAACATAACTACTACAATGAGCTGTAGTGTTCATGATATTTGGAGTAATAAAAACAAGTATTATTAAAACTGTGTGAATATTATCATACTTCCTCTCCCAAATCAGACAAACCCGAATAACAAGAAAAGGAATAAATTGCTGCATTAGAAAACTATAGTAAAAATTTATAAAAATATAAAAAATAAAACATTTTCAGCAGTTTAGTTCCAGTGAATATTTATACAATACATAAAAAAGCACTAATAGCATGAATCATCTGAAAGCTATAAAACTCCCCCATTGAGCAGCAACTCATATGAATCTGAGCCAAATGTAAATAAAAATAAACAAATTATCCCCGTGCTTGAAATCCTACTGTTCCTGGGCACTAGTACTGACTATATTATTCATGTGTTCAAATACAATACAAAACCAGTTATGTTACCTGCACCACATTACAAATCCCTATGTAAACTTAAATAATGGGTGTTCAATACCACTGCAGTGGTCACTAAAGTGTAAGCTCATCTGCCAACATCAAGGCAAACATTTCACCTCTTTGTAAAAGTCAGATTTGAGTAGGAATCATATACAGTTTATTTTGGGTGGCTATTAATTAAGTCTTAATTATTTCTTGTGATTTGCAGATATATTTTTCTTTATAGATACTCGGAATAGCAAGGGGCACCAGGTTTGCACCCAGCTATGCCAACCTGTTCATAGAATATTATTAAACTGGTTGGATTCAGAATCTAGTGCTCTAGAAACACTATATAGATGATCTGTTTTTATTTGGGGAAGTGGTCAAGAAGATTTAGGTATATATTTTTTAATTTAATTATTGAGATAGCCACCTTTTTTTCTGAATATAATACAGAAAAATTTATTTTTTTGGATTTATCTATTTATGTTAAAGTCAGATACATGCATGCGCTTTATACAAGATGGTGGCGATGATAGCTACTTCCTGTAAAAATAGCTGCCATTTTAACATTGACTCAAGAATTTGCCGAAATGTCAGCTAGTGCACATAAGGCACAATGGTTTAGAAAAGAAAATTCTTGAACTTCCGGCAAAGAGAGTTAATGCAGATTTCTTTTTACAAAAGACGTTTGAGAAGGCACAGCTGGAGTTAGTAAGAAAGGAAGTTTGAGAGATGAGAAAGGTGGACCTCCTTGTGGATAAAAGTAAGTTTTGTTGTGAAAGGGTAAAAGCCCCTGGTCTATTGTTTCTGAGGATCCTGCATTAAAGGAAATTGGCCTATCTGAACCCAAGATTATATTTTAGGACTTTTCAGATTTAATTAAAAACAACAAATTAATAAGGATTAACGGCGATAAAAAATACCCAGTGCTGTCTAAAAATTATGTCACTAGAACACTCATTACATACGTAATAGCCTGGATAAAATCAAGGTAATTGCGCACACAATGGTTAGTATCGGATCACAGTTGTCAAAGGCAATTAAAAAACTTTTTCAGTTTTAATATCACTATTATTACATTTATTTAAAACAGAACAAAAAAAGTTTTTTAAAAAAAGGGGAGTTTTCAAAATACGCAAGTATTTAAAATCAAACAGTTAATTACATGCCCTATTAATATTGTTTTTTTATTACCAGTCCATGTAAGTTATAATATGTTGGTTAAACGTCCCATCGTTCACATATTGGGATTGAAGAATAATTTCCTAAAATACTAATTTCAGCCCATTTCTCTGAATGCCCTGGAGGATATCCTGAACATATATCCTTCATATGTGTTGAAAAATATTTAAAAAAATTGGTGAGGTGAAAATGATATTACCTTGCTGGGACAACAGTAGATGATAACTATTTTAAAACCCTTTGATAATAAAAAAATGTTTTTTTTTATAGTATAATTTTATGTGGGTTTAATATTGTTTTCTCCTTTTTAGCGATGTATCTGAATATGAGCACTGTCAATGAGGCGCTTTGTAGTTGAGGATAAGAAAGGGTTAATGCTGTGTTGTGGTGATGCTGGTCACGTCTGGCTCTGATTCTAGTGACTTGTTCCACATACAGGAGAGTTTTATGGTTTTTAAAATGATTTGCACTGATTTACAAATGTGTTTTTTAAAAAAATATTTTTCTTTCTTTCATTTATTTTTTTATATTGTCACCATGAATTTATTACAGCATTTTGTTTTCCTTTTTGGCAATGTTTTTTTGCTCTATAATCCCACCGTTTCCCTCTGCCACCCATGCATTAGGGTTCCCTTTTGCTCAAAAAATACTGCAGTACATGATGTTATGTGTTTTTTTTGGGAGTTGTAGTTATGTTTTTAGATTTGCTGATACTTGAACTACGTAGAGCTCATACTTGAACTACAACTCCCAGAAACCAATGGCGTGCTCCTAAGCCACTGCTCATGGGATAAACTGCATTCAGTCATTGACTACAGAAAATGTCATAATTCCCCTCAGAGTAAACAAAATGGTTCCTTGCAAATTTTGTGGTGAATCCTGTATAAACACAGCTATTGAATGATATGCTCTGCACAGTGGCAGCTAAACCATTTAAACAGTTAAATAAAATATACAAAAACATGTATAGTTTGGAGGAAAGACGAGACAGGGGGGATATGATAGAAACATTTAAATATATAAAGGGAATCAACACAGTAAAGGAGGAGACTATATTTAAAAGAAGAAAAACTACCACAACAAGAGGACATAGTCTTAAATTAGAGGGACAAAGGTTTAAAAATAATATCAGGAAGTATTACTTTACTGAGAGGGTAGTGGATGCATGGAATAGCCTTCCAGCTGAAGTGGTAGAGGTTAACACAGTAAAGGAGTTCAAGCATGCGTGGGATAGGCATAAGGCTATCCTAACTATAAGATAAGGCTAGGGACTAATGTAAAGTATTTAGAAAATTGGGCAGACTAGATGGCCGAATGGTTCTTATCTGCCGTCACATTCTATGTTTCTATGTTTCTAAAACAACAAACACAAAGAAATAATCTATCAATCATTTACCCATATATTCAAACCCTTTTGATATTTAAAACATGCATTTTGGGGTTATATGTTTTCTAATCTAAATGCAGGCAACACACATGCTAATCTTTGTTTCTGTATAATAGTAACATAGCTTTATGCTAAACAGGCTTTTATTATTGTAATGAATTGGGATACATTAATGTTATTTTGTAATTAGTGCTAATGTAAGCCATTTTGTAGGTCAAAAAAATCTCTCATAGAATTTGTTATCCTAATGTGCTAATGTGCACAGTTTATACCATGCCTCGCAGGATGTGGTATACTTTGTTATGGATTTTAATCAGTATGATATTCCTTACTAAACTACAAATAACAGAGAAGGAAAATTTGAATTGCAAAATGGAGTTCATTATTTTTAAAGTTATTTTTTTCTTAATTGAACCCCCCTCCCCCCAAATTCGGATTCCTGTTCATTATAACTAATTATTTACTGACTAGGCCCATGTATCCATTAATAATATGTTGGCTTAGGGCAATATGGGATTGAAGTGAGTCTATGCATTCTCGTTGATTAATTCTCTCACAAACGCTCACTGACTTATCAGTCCTAATAAAACTGCCAGGGACAGTTGGAGGTGTAATTTGCAGAGAGTTAAAGAGAGAGAGTTAATTTGCAGAGAGGCAAACTACGACTAAAACAGTCAAGTTGAAAACAAAACGTGCAACTCTTTATTTTTTTTCCTGCTTAATACTCCTATCAACCTCTGCTTAATTTGGTAATTATGAGATCTATACCCTGAAAACTAGCAAAAATAGTATCAACTGGAAGATATATTTGTGTTTGACTATCTGAATGAATATACATTATTATTATTGGTATTTATACAGCGCAAGCTTATTCCGCAGTGCTTTACAATAAATGTATGTATATGGCTAAATAGTTGTGTGAGAATCACTGTAGGCTGTGAGAGTGTGTAAGTGGCTGATTTTCCAAGTGTATCATGGAGCGTGTGGTTAAGAAGGGGGCATATTGGCTTGACTGAGCTCTCCAACGTCAGTAGAGGAGGCAGGAAGCAGCGTCCAGCGGATCCCAGATAAGAGGCCTAACATTCTAAAAAAGATTTGACTACTAACAATGTGGAGGCACTGGCTTTAGTGGTTATAGTGCTTGGAGTGGCTCTTTAAATACATTAGCGCCTTTGGCCCTTACATTTGTAAAATAATGCAGTCAGTGCATAAAATGTATCACCAGTTACACTCCATCCTGTAACATTAAATTGTCATTGTGCTTCATTACAAATACGAGTGATGCAGCTAGGCAGGCTTGTGGCCCTTAGCAACTGACAGTCTATATTTGGTAAATCCAGTGTCATATAAGGTCTGAGTAGTCTTGCCAGGCATGACACTATTTCTGGTTTCAATATTTGGAAGTGATGCTTTTCAGAGCACATCCTGTACTTTATCCTTCTTAAATGAACAAAAGCAGGATATGTATCAAACCTTGAGCTAATCTTTCACCAATAAATCTTTCAGGCAGAATTTGATAGCCATTTTAACATATATAAAGAATTACAATATTTATATCAATGTGTCTGCTGAGTGGTCTACTGGGGGCTAAAGTTTAAAGCAAAACCACAGAAACAGGATTAGTCAATAAATTGAAAAAATCTCTGGAAATTCAAAGTTCATTTCAAAATGTAGGTTAAAATATCCAAATTAGAAAAAATTCTTCAAGTCAAATCTCTTTTCATTTTGGCTATTTTGACCTCAAAACTTAACATTTGCTTTGAATTTACTTTGAATTCATGGCAATTCACACTTTATTGAATAACCCTAACACGGGCACAGTGACCATTTTTTTTGCTTCTTAAAAGCCATCAAGCAACTCAGGACATGTATTCTTCTTTAACACTGGTGGTTCCTTTAACATGAAAACAGAACCTCAAATGGGGTTTATTTACTAAACAATGAATTGTGCGGATTTCAAAATCGTGTTGCAGAGTAATAGCCAACACATGCCACCACTGGCAATCGCTTCATATTGCCTTCTTTTGGATCAATGGCATAAACAGATGCATGGAAGGCTGAAATTGAAGGACTCAACATGAAATGAATAGCAAATTAATATTTATTGTCAAAATATATGGAGTTTTGTTTCCCTAAAATTTCCAAAGATGTCAACTCACCATAAAGCCACTGTTAATGAATAGACCTAATGACTAATTTTGGGTATGCAAAGCTGAGATTTTAAAGTGGCTTAGAGGATAACTATATCTCCCCATTAATCCTTCATTCTCCAACTACAAATCTAATTCTGGCAAAAAAAATGTTTTTTAGCTAAACCCCAATGATATTTCACTGCCACACAGAAATTTAAATCACTACGTAGCCACAGAGATTAAGAAGCTTTATCCAAGATATCTCACAAAGTTGCTAAGGACTTTCAACGTTAATCATTGATTCTGCAAATAGACAGAGTATAGACATGCAGGCTTATTTAATAAATTGAGAATTTAAAAATAATTTCACATTTAAGGCCATACTAGTCAAACTGACAGCATAACTGAGTTAGAGAATGTTTCTAGTTCGAATATTTTGACCTGAAATGTAAAAATCCACTTTGTCTTCTTCCTGTAGTGAAACCCTGATAGAGTATTAATGGCAGATATAGATTGACTAATACCTATCTTCATGAATCCAAAATCTCATTAGACCAAAATATTAATCATGCAATTCCAGAAATATTTTTTTTTCTCACAATAAATAACATTAGGAATGAGCTGTAATTTCGATGCCGGACAGGTCCGTGATTTCTAAATGAGATAACCGAAAATATTTTACTGTAAGTTCTATTCTTTTTTTAAAGGATCATTTGTGATGATTTTTTTGGATGAGGTTAGTGTTAGGTATAATAATCATGGTTTGGTTGAGGGGTTAGAATTTGGGTTAGAACCAGGGGTAAACTTGGTGGGTTCACTGACCCTTGGGTGCAGGCCTTCTCATATCCTTATATGGATGTGGCCAAATTACTCAGCCATTTCTATATTTTATTCCTCTCACGATTTACGTCTGCTCGTTCTATATACTCCACCCTATTACAATAAATGAAATCATAGGAAACGTAGACTAGGGAAATGTGGTCACAACTAATGCTGATTGACCATAACTTGTATGAACACACTTCCATTCCCAACATCCTAAACAAGTCTAAACATGCAGATTTCTTATATATGTGTATGTAACTGATTGTTTATGTATGTGCACCTCAGCCTGTATAGAATGTGTGTATGTGAGTTAGTGTATAATGCATATAGGAAATAGTTGGTGGCTAGACTGATACATTTGACTGTATTTGTAAATGTAGGCAATTGGGTGCAGGGAGCTATGTGACTGGGTGGGTTGGTAGGTGTAGGTGACTAGGTGGGTAGGGGTATGTGTGAACAGGGAGGTTGGTGATGAGTAAAATATGACTGGGGAATGTAGTTATACATAGGCTTGTGGTGTGGTGGGTGAATTTGACAATAAGTCATAGTTTGGTAGTATACATCATTGTGCATAACAGGGGGCTGTAACTAAATTGGGGGGCTGGTTACAGAGACAGGGTGGGCTCACATTACAGTCAGCACTTTATTGACATGTTAGTTGGGTGGGCGATAGAAAATCCACAGAAGTTTTAGACAAAGTAATTCCATCTTCAAAGGTGAGGCACCCATGAACCCCCTTTAGCTTACTCCTGATAAGAAGTAATGTTTCGAGTTACTCTCAGTATTTACGATCAGGATTCGTGTTAACTGTTAGGGGTTGGATTAGGAGTAATATATTGATTTAGGGTTAGTATTTAAGATCATGATTGTTGGTCGTATTTATCTAGTATTAAGGTTAATCCTTAAGAATTATGGTTAGAAGTTTAGTGTTAGGGTTTTTTATTGTACTGGGTACTCCTACAAAATGGGTTCATTGTGATTATGCTCAAAGTTTAAATATAAATAGCCTAAAACCATGAATTATATAATGCCAATTAAGCATCAAGGTCTTGTTGTGTTGTGTATTTGCCACCAAAACATCCTCTACCCCAAAATAACTACTAAATAATAAAGTAATAACAAGCTATATATTTAAAAAAAATAACACCGCTCACTTACCTGGCTCACAAGTTCAAGGACTTTACCAAATTCAGTTGAATGTATTAAAATATAGAATAATCCAAAGGTTACAAAAACCACTGAGAACAAAATATGTATCAGTGTGGAACCTGCTCCGTCTGTGGAACTGGTAACGTTTCTGAATCTTGTACATTAGTCCAGTTTAGGAGCCAGGCTGACTCCCACCCTACAAACTTCCTTCCTTCGATTGTTCTATGCATAGCTAAAGCATTGCGTTGAGTGGAGGAAACCAGATAAAAACCATTTAGCAGGCTTTTTTTGTTTATTGCAAATAGCTATACAATGTGAAATCTGAAGCAAAGCATAGGGGACAGTTAACCTTTTAGTTGTGCTTTTTTTGTTAGTTAGAGTACAAGAGCACACTCTTATGACCTTCTATCTTGGAACTGTTGGTTGCGAGATGAGTGTAAGGTTTGCTATTGCCAAGAATTGTGGGGAAAATCATGACTTTGAACACTTTAGGAAGCAGTGCTGTTTTTTTTTTTTAATCCCATATGGTGGTATTTTGCAGCTCTGGAGATTCATACAATAAAAACAAGTATTGTACCTAAGGTAATCTAAATATGGATTATGTGGTATACAAAAAATGTTTATAATTTTTTTTATAAATAAATTATGGAATGGCTTTTGTAGAGTTGGACTCAAAATAAGGAAATAAGATATCTCTGGTGTATTTGGAAATATCCAAACCAGATGACACACAAATATCCCACCAGATGACGCACAATTTTCACACAAGGTAAGAACTGGTGGTCCAGGATCCACTCTACTCTCTGAAGTGTTTATTAACTGATTGGTAATGGATTCTAGTTTGAATAGTCTGATCCTAATGCCATTGTATTCTGAATAGAGCACCATAAGTCAACCACAGACAGCTGCCCAAGGACCCTGGAACCATAAATTTGCATGGCCCCATTCACAATATCTACAAAGCAAATGAAGATGGGCTGCCTGAACCACTAACCTGCCTTGTTCTTTGTATGATCTTGATTCTTCCCTGATTCTGAAGTCTTCTTCAAAGTCTTCAATGACTAACCAGACAAAGGAACGTTTTAGAGAAAGAAAGAACTGCTGGTCCATGGTCCAAACAAAAAATTTCATCTAAGTTGCATCACTCTGCTTCCTGAAGTTTTTATTCACCAAACCATTAACAATTCAAGCGTAGATTTTACATTCTATAGGCTAAAATGTTAACTATTTTATTAATGGGTGAATAGTATGCCAACTGTCATACAAAGACATGGATTACTTGTATAAGACATGGGTAACACATTGCGATATTTTAAATGTTTTAGATGTCCTCATTGCGTCCCTGAGATAGGGTCCATTGAGGCATACAGCAATAACGTGAAACCATTATAAACTATCGAAGGAACATTCTTGACACTAATACAACTTTAATGCATTTGATAGGTTTTGGCCTCAAATACAATGCTGTATTTTGTGCATGTTTAATTAACTATAGTTTTTGCACCAAAAAATAAATAAATCAATGTGTAATGGAATCCTGCACCATAAACCAGCCATCTTCGCCACACCCTCTCACTCCAGGAACACTTCCTTATAAAATGGAGTGAGACGACTTTAATTTACCTGCCGAAAGTCAGATAAACAGGTGATATCCTTAATATAGGTCTCCCAGGTTGTCTTTTCCTTCTAACGCCGGTTGCTTTGCAGTTCAGATCACTTGGTTATCTCTCAGTTTCTGAGCTCTGTGCATGCACTTGAAAAGGATGCATGTAGTGGTTATGGTGAAAGGAATCTCACGGTGCTATCCCACAAAAATTACACAAATAATTTTACTTGGGTTCCCTGCATGCCCGTGTTCCAGTCCCTTCTTCAGATATCAGTAAGATGGCAGTCCCTACTTTTGCAGTAGTGACATAAATTCTCATTAGTGACATCAATTCTGTCCTATCTTTAGTATATTTTTGATAAAGATATCTCAATCACTCTGAATTGTCTAACAGGTCCGTGAATCAGGTTTTTTCAGTGTTTAGCTCAGCCACTGCTGTGTCTCTATTTTATTTTAAAGTTTACTCTTGGGGCTGATTTTCTATTGTAGGCTTACATATATACAGTTCCACATGCTGACTTAGCCCTCCGATGATTTCCTAGACTACCTTTGTGTGTAGGCCAACCAGTTCAGCACTATAGGGGATGCTTTATATGAAATATTATCGTATATGTCTCCAAAGGACAATTCAGAACATCTCTCCCTACAGCAATCCCACAAAATGCACAGCAACGACCGTCTTAAAGCTTTTACCGTTATCTTTTATCATCAGATCACTACATAGTCATGTTCCTCTGAGGTTTAGTCTGAAAAGTGGTACATAATATGGTATGTTTTCTTCTTTTTTTCTGCAGTCTTAGCAAACAGTAATTTTGTTTTGATGTCAATTGAACCAAAGTTCCTCGTAGATCACCGGTATCGTCTAATCCGATATGCCGCGGTGTAAATTTCAACAACTTAATAAAGATGAGATCTTAAAAACAAAAACAAAAATGTATGCTGTTTTGTGATGTTAGTTAATATCCTTTGAAGTAGGCTTCAGTGAAGAATGAGGGTTTGACTTGCATCTATTCCACTACTCTCTTTATTAGACTTGAGAAATCACTGGCTACAAAAGCACTCAGATATGTAATTCATAACACGGTTATCAAAGGGTAATCTGGAGAATGAAAGAAGCCTAGCATATGAATCTAAAAAGGAATGTAACAGATGAATCAATTTTATAGCAGCACCTCAAAGTATGATAAATGGGAAAGAAAGGATGGCATTGAGAACATAAATCTCTTTATGGTGCTTTATACAAAAAAATACAAATTCCAGGAGAACTAATAAAATTAGGATTAAACCAGAACATACCTAATAGCAGCAGAGTACAACTGCTATTTACAATTGTTATTCTCTCATCTATAAAAATAATAAATACTCCGGCACTAAATTCTGGGTGAAAAAAACCCATTAGTGGCTAAAGCATTTGTAGGATACCAGCAGGGAAGGACATGGACTGAAAATAGGCACTGGCATTAAAACCACACAGCAGCTTCCTTAAAGGGACACTCCGGACACTCTTAAAGAATGACTGACGTGTGTAGAGTTTTTCCTCTTTTTCATTTTACAAGACGTGCAGATTTCAATAGAAATAGGCACTTGACCTGGTTACACCACCTGGCTGTCAATCAGACAACTGGTGCCGTTACTTCCTGGTTTGGTTAGCTCAGTGGAGCAGTGGCAGCAATTGCTCAGAGCATTGGCCTTGCAAATACTTTCCATTGAGCTGCATTGGGAAGTCTGTGTCAAACCTTGGACTGCCGCGTAGCACATGCGGCTTCCAGGAGGCTGTAGCGTGGCAGTCACAAAGTCTCCGGTCCCATGCCGCTCTGGCCACAGGAAACGCCACACGGCATTCTGTTGCTCCTTGTGCAGAGCAACGCCTGAACACTCTGTCTTCTTGCAAGGCTGCCAGATTACTTCGCACCACGTACAGGAGTACAGGAATTACAGGACCCTGCAGGTGCAGGTTTTTTATAGCATTAAAGTGACAGGTCATATTATTGGGAAACATTGTCTGTCCTTTCCAGATCACACCCCTTTGTGTGATTTGATGCAGGGTGATGACACTGTCCAATAAGATTTTTGTTCTCCCTATTTAAACTTCCCTCTTTCTGGAGATCATTGCCCTGTTGTGATTTATTCTGCCCGAGAGTGCATTCTGTGTAGCTGTTATTGGTTTTCCTGTTACTGACCCAGCTTTGTATTTTGACTTGTCTGTATTTTTGGTTCACTGACTTCGGCTTGTTTTTTTGTATATTGAGTATCTCTGCCAACCTTGACCTTGGTTTTCTGTTTTGACTCTGTATTTTCGCCTATCTAGGGCACAAGTTTACCTGGCCACTGTAGGGCACGTGTACGTACCTTTCTCTCTCTATTTTATTCATTCTGGTTACTGTTTCCCAATACTCTGTGTGTGGGTGGTTACACAATCTTGAAACTCTGTGATTGGACAGCCACAGAAAGTCTGGATGGTGTTAGAAGAACAGGGCTTGAAAAGGCTTCCCACAAGAGATCTGATCTTATTTCGTTTTTTTGTATAAATAAATACATACATGTTTTTATTGAGGATATATCTACTAAACAGTGATTTTTATTTATTATTATTTAGGCAGTGGAGTGCCCCTTAAAGCACCCGTTGCTAAATCATCCCTCACCTCTGGAACACCCTCCTCACCATGTGTAGGGTTGCAACGTATGCGAATAGGATTCTGGTTTCACGTAGTTTAACAGCATGTGAATGTGAGGGTGTATTTGTGTAGTTTGTCTCTACTAATCAGTGCATACCGCTCATGAATTCTGTCAGATTGTTTTGGAACAATTTGATAAAGCTTGAGGTTCTCCACTGCATATATATCCAGATCCCTCTAAAACGAGGTTTTAGAAGCATATCATCATATCTGTTCCATTGTAGGTGTGGCATTGTGCCAATGACTCGTTCGCAGGAAAAAGTAAAGGGTGGCCACAGAATATCTAGACCATGTTTATTACAAACTTTTCTGTAGGGAGCATGTGTGTGTCAGTGAGCTTTTTTGTATGGAGCATGTGTGTCAGTGAACTTGTCTGTATTGAGCATTTGTGTGACCGTGAGCTTGTCTGTAGTGATCTTGTGTGTGTCAGTGAGCTTGTCTGTAGGAAGCATGTGTGTATCAGTTTGTCTGTACTACATTTATGTGTATACCAATAAGCTTGTCTGTCTGTGTCAGTGAGATCGTCTGTCAGTGAGCCTATGTGTGTGCATCTGTGAGCTTGTGTTTTTATGTCAATAAGCTTATGTATATCAGTGAGATTGTTTGTCTATGAGGTTGTGTGTCAATGAGCTTGTGTGTGTCAGTGAGATTGTCTGTGTCTGCATGTGAGTATGCTTACTGTATAATTAAACGTTTTACTCTGAAAGGACCAATCTTTTATATTAGAAAAAGAAATATATATTTATGTTATATATATGTTTAAAAAATCTATTTATACAGTCAGGTCCATAAATATTGGGACATCGACACAATTCTAATCTTTTTGGCTCTATACACCAACACAATGGGTTTGCAATGAAACAAACAAGATGTGCATTAACTGCAGAATTTCAGCTTTAATTTGAGGGTATTTACATCCAAATCAGGTGAACGGTGTAGGAATTACAACAGTTTGTATATGTGCCTCCCACTTTTCAAGGGACGAAAAGTAATGGGACAATTGGCTGCTTAGCTGTTCCATGGCCAGGTGTGTGTTACTCCCTCATTATCCCATTTACAAGGAGAAGATAAAAGGTCCAGAGTTCATTTCAAGTGTGCTATTTGCATTTGGAATCTCTTGCTGTCAACTCTCAATATGAGATCCAAAGAGCTGTCACTATCAGTGAAGCAAGCCATCATTAGGCTGAAAAAACAAAACAAACCCATCAGAGAGATAGCAAAAACATTAGGTGTGGCCAAATCAACTGTTTGGAACATCCTTAAAAAGAAAGAACGCGGTGGCCTGGAGCTCGATCGGCATGGACGCACACATGTAAAGCTCCTGCCAGTAATGGGGATTTTAGGACAAATAAACGGTCTGCAAAGCGATAATTGAGGCACGCCAGGACTCACAATGACCCACAGACAGAAGCAAAGGACTGCTAAAGCCAAAAGAGAATCCTTCTTCTTGGCAAGATCCGCCAGTAAAAAAACGCGGGAGGCCGGTAGCCCCATCCAAGATGGCAGCGGGAACCGCTCCCGCGAGGGATCCCTCTCACCTGCAGCTTCCACAGGCTCCCTAGCGGAGGAACAGCCTCTCACAGCAACCTCCATGAGGCTGATGCTTTCGGAACTAGCTGACACCTTCCAAGCAAACATGAAAAAGCAACTGCAGGGCCTGGCAGCAGAGATGAGGAAGGACATAGCAGAAATAGGCCAGCGCACAGCTCAAGTGGAGCAGAAGCTAGATGAATGTGTGGACGCACACAACTGCCTGGCAGATAAAGTGCAAGTACAAGAAGCAAATCTACAAGCGTTAAAAATTAAAATGGCTCATCTGGAGGACCGGTCCAGGAGAAATAACATCCGGATAAGGGGCATCCCTGAAACAGTACTACCAATGGGCCTACATGACTACCTCCAAGACATGTTCCAGGCGCTCGCCCCAGAGACACAGCCGGACCAACTGGTAGTGGGCAGGGTACACCGCCTTAGAAGACCACAACATCTCCCGCCAACAGCAGAGAGAGATGTCATAGCACGCATCCACTTTTTCCATGTGAAGGAAAGGATTGTGAAGGCAAGCAGAATGGCAGACATGCCAAATCCATATGGGCACATTAAAATCTTCGCCGACCTATCAGCAGAAACCGCCCTGAGAGAGAAGAACATAGCCTACAGATGGGGATACCCCGCCAAGCTGTTGATCCACTGGGAAGGGAAGATGCATGTGATAACTAATGCAGAAAAGGGTCTCAACCAACTTAAGGACTGGGGCATCCAAATCTCGGGTGTGTTGAAACAACACCCTACCACAACTACCAGGGTTACAAGAGACTGGTCCACTACCTGAACACTTAAGGGTAACCACCTCTGAGAGAGGCAAGTCATTGCTACCCTCTACACAGAGTACCAGAGACTCATGACACCCAGAGAAAGGTTTTATGTTTACCACGGTTATAATTCATGTTCCCACAGGGGATGTATGTAAAAAACTTACTATGTTAACAAAGTTTATGTAAAAGTTAAGGGTCAGACAGTTAGTTGCCAGGACAGAGGGAGCACCAGCCCAATCCATTGAGGGTCAACTAGCGGCAGTAACACGGAACTAAGCCCTCTAAGGGCACCCGCCCCCAAGGAAGTTACAACGCTAGATCCCACCGCTAAGGCCACGAATGAGTCGCCGGAAGATGGCAGGGCTCATACCCCAACCCACATAATATGTGGACAGGACCCTTCCGGCACATTTCAGCTCCCTATGGAGCAGTTACGTCAGGCATACTGCCCGACTGTTTGTTCTAAATCCCCAAGGTTCCACTACCCCTCATTGTCCCTTTTTGTCCCGATACCCCCTAAGCATCAAAGCAAAACAATCTACAAATTACCGCCACACCACCACAATGAATGCCATGGAGTACATCTCAGGGAAATGGAGCCACGTAAGATTTAGAGGCACTCTGATACACAACTATGAAATTAGTCTCCTATAATGTGAAAGGGTTAAACACCCTGGGTAAACGTGGACTACTACTTAAAGATCTCCTAAAAAAAGGAGTTGACATAGCGTGCATCCAGGAAACTCATTTTAGAAATGATCACACCCCAGCTATCTATATGAAGAAATATCCCACACAATTCCACTCTCTAGCCTCCACAAAATCCAAAGGGGTGTCCATCCTCATCCACAAAGAGGTTGCAGTCACGATACAACAACACTGTATAGATCCAAAGGGCAGATATATCATACTGGTAGGCCAGTTCAATACCGCCACTCTTACACTCGTAGCCACATATCTCCCCAACGAGAACCAAGGGAAATTCCTGCACATGTGACTCCGCAAACTAGATAAAGTTAAACAGGGCAATGTAATCCTATGCGGAGACTTCAACTGCATACAATCACCCACGTTAGACACAACGGCCACTCTCACGGGGAACAGCAAGAAAAAGATGGTATCCACTAGCAAGCACTTCACCAAGCTGATAGACCAATACGTTCTATATGATGCGTGGAGGACACTCCACCCAAGCGACAGGGACTACACCTTCCACTCAAGAGTCCACAACACATACACACACATAGACACATTCTTCATAGACAGACCACTACTAGCACAACTGACAGGATGCTATATAGAGGACATAACGTGGTCAGACCACGGACCGAAATACCTAGACCTACTTGACGCATACCAATTTAAGGGAAGGGGAACGTGGCAACTGAACGATTCACTGCTACTGAATACGGAATTTGCACAAGAAATTAAAGAGGCCCTCCAAGACTACTTTGCCACCAATAGAGGAGGGGAAGTCTCAGGTACCACAGTTTGGGCAGCGCACAAGGCAGTTATGAGAGGGTTGTTCATTAGAAGGGCCTCCTTCCTGAAAAGACAGCACCAAACCAACCTCTTAGACTGCCATAAACAATAAGCCATAATCTCCAAACAAAACAAACACCATCCCACACCAATACTAGCAACACAATTGCAAACACTACACACAAGAATGACAGAACTAAATGCAGAGAAAACTAAAACCTTGCTCCACAAACTTAAAGCTAACGTCTACCACAATAGCGGTAAAGCCAATAAATATCTAGCTAACAGACTCCGTGCTAGATACGCCAACACAAAAACAGCACGCATTGTAGGGGACGACGGCACACAGCACCAGACACCAGCAGACATCAGTAGGGAATTCGCAACGTTCTACTCCAAACTATACAACCTGCAATTGTCGGGCGCTACATACATAGCGAGTCACACAGAAATAGACAACTTCCTAAGGCAGACCAACCTCCCCCAATTGTCCGTTGACCAAAAAACATCGCTAACCACTCCGATAGACCTACAGGAAATCCTGAAGGTGATAGCGGGCTTACCAAAAGGGAAGTCACCGGGGGCGGATGGGCTCACCAATGACTATTATAAACTGTACGCTAACGAACTTGCCCCTCACTTACTTCGAGTGTATCAAACAGCCACCAACACAGGGACCCTGCCACCAGAAATGCTCATGGCCACTATTGTCACCCTCCTGAAACCGGGAAAACCCCCGGATAAATGCCAAAACTACTGACCCATATCGCTACTGAATACCGATGCTAAAATATATGCAAAGATTATAGCTAACAGACTTAGAGACATCCTGCCCGACCTTATAGGAGATGACCAGACAGGGTTCATGACAGGCAGACAGGGGCTAGACAATACGCGGAAACTAACACTACTATTAGAACAACTACGGAAAACTAAGGAGGGGGGAATGCTCCTAGCACTAGACGCAGAAAAGGCGTTTGACCACCTCAGCTGGCCATTCTTAGACCGAACTCTGAGGGCGTACGGATTCCCACCTCCAGTAATAAGCCAAATCTTCGCACTATACTCTGCCCCGGCAGCACAAGTCCTACAATCAGGGTTCAAATCGGACCCATTTAAAATCTCCAACGGGACACGACAAGGCTGCCCGCTCTCGCCTCTCCTGTATGTACTAGCATTGGAAATCCTTCTTCGCACTATTTGAGCCCACCCCCTGATAAAAGGCATCACAATAAAGCAAAGCGAATACAAAATCAGCGCTTTCGCAGACGACATACTACTCTTCATAACGCGACCCCTAGACTCCCTACCACACATCATGCAGACAATACAAATATACAGCCGCTTATCGTACTATTCCCTGAACGCAACAAAAACGCAAGCCCTAGGGATAAATCTCCCTGCACAACTAATCCGCTCACTACGCACCACATACAATTTTGAGTGGAGAAAAGACTTTATCACATATCTGGGGCTCCACATTACCAGACAGACAAAAGACCTAATACCAGGGAACTACATCAGGATGTGGAATGCCTGTAGAACGATACTTAAGATGTGGGGCCACCTATTCCTCACCTGGACAGAATGGATAATTGTTTATAAAATGTCCATACTCCCGAGACTACAATACATATTTAGGACTTTGCCCATGAAAGTCCCACAAACATACTTTAAGACAATTCAAAAAGATGTTGGCACATTCACATGGGCCGGAAAGAAACCGAGAGTGTTGCGTAGATTGCTGGCTGCACCATTGACAGAGGGTGGACTAGCGGTACCGGACGTGCAGGCTTCCCGTCAGGCTGCCATACTAGCATCGGCAATGCCGCACCTCATAGACCAACCCCCTCCTCAGTGGGTGACGCTAGAAAAACACCTGATGGAACCATATGAGACTCCACATGTGCTATGGCTCCCCAAACCGCTTAGACCACCACTGATGGACATTCCAGCACAAATCACACTACTCCTGAGAGTCTGGGACCTGCACAGACACAAGCTGAGCTCTAACCCCCGAATCCCACAGGCCACGCCACTAGGGGCCCTCACATACTGCATCCCCACGTTCCACGCAACGCCTTGGCAAGAGAGAGGCATCAGGACTCTAACCCAAATTCATAAGGGAGGTAAGCTCATAGACTTCGACACGCTACAAAAAACATACGACATACCGCCAATATCACACTTTTCATGCAGACAATTATCATCATTCCTCCACGCACATACTCCTAAAATCACCACACAGAATAACCCGAGCCCTCCTACACTTTATGAGAAAACTTATGCATAAACCATAAACTCCCCAGAGCCTGCAGACCTCTATCTAACTGCTACAAAATGCTCCTAGACTACAGTCCACTATCAACAGCTACACCAGCGATACAATGGGAAAAGGAACTAGGCAGGAACCTCACCAAACAGCAATGGGAAGAATTAGTAAACTCCCCTAGGAAACTGATTAAGTGTGCGACACTCATTGAACAGCATATGAAGATAGTATACAGGTGGTATTTGGTCCCAGAAAAACTACACAGGCTCTATCCCTCCAGCTCACCAAAGTGCTGGAGATGCACCAAGCATGTTGGCACCACCTTACAAGGGGCAGTGCCCACTGATACAGCCACTCTGGAGGGCAGTACAGAGAGTGCTTAAAGAAATCACAATCTTCGAAACACAATATGACCCAAGCACATACCTACTACTAGCACTACCACCAATGACCCCCACAACATATGAAAAAACTGACATACCATCTCCTGCTCACTATCCAATGAGTAATCGCAAGGGCATGGAAATCCTGCAACACCTCCTCCATAGAAGCAGTCTTAGCTGAGGTGGACAAACAACGACTCTATGAGAAACACCTCCACAATATATGCCCCCCCCACGAACACGACATTAGCTACATGGGAAAGCTGGGATAAATGGAGACTACAACATCCCCCCAGATAGCTAGGAGCCCCAAAGCTCGGGGGATACCTAAGGCGATGTAGGAATGGTATAACAGAACGGAAATCTAGACAAAGCGCACAAAGCAAAGGGCAGTATTAAAAGATAGGAATGTATTCCATGTTAGTCCTCCTGAAAGGAAGACAAATGCTTGTATATCGAAGTGTAACTAAGCTCACTCTGAATTGATGCTCCCCCACCCCTTCCCCCCTCTTCTTCCTTTCTTCTTCCTTTCTATACCCTTCCCTGTGTTGAGAATTCATAATGAAAACAATAAACATTAAAAAAAAAAAAAAAGAAAGAACGCACCGGTGAGCTCAGCAACACCAAAAGATCTGGAAGGCCACGGAAAACAACTGTGGTGGATGACCGAAGAATTCTTTCCCTGGTGAAGAAAACACACTTCACAACAGTTGGCCAGATCAAGAACACTCTCCGGGAGGTAGGTGTATGTGTGTCAAAGTCAACAATCAAGAGAAGACTTCACCAGAGTGAATACAGAGGGTTCACCACAAGACGTAAACCATTGGTGAGCCTCAAGAACAGGAAGGGTAGATTAGAGTTTGCCAAACAACATCTAAAA